GGCAATGGGGCCACTACTGCAGCTGAGTGGGGCTGGGGGTCCCTCACTCATCTGCTGGGGGCTTCTGGGGACCCCCGGCCGCCCTCGGGGTCAGTGTGCCCATCACAGAGCTCGGGGTGAAGCTCTGGGGGGGGCTCAGCACCAAAATGGTCTTCTGTGGGTGAAGGAAACTCATTTGGGGTCACCAGAGCCCCAGGAGCACTGTCCCTCTCCGGGGTGGTGGCAGCTCCCTGCCCTCAGCAGCGTGGATTCACGGAATGGTGGGGGAGATTGGGGAGGACTGCTAAGATTGGTGAGCTCTGCGTTCTCTGTAGGAAGGCTCTCAGTGCAGAGTGGAGGAGGACATTTTGCTTTCCTGCTGGAGATGCGTGAGGGCTCCTCGGCTGTTGGGTGGCGGATGGACAGACAGACCAAGTGTCCACCAGAGCCCAGCTGAGGCCGCGGAGAATTTTGTTTGCAACGCATTGCTCTGCACAAAGCTCTCAGTCACAAGGAGAAGGGGACAAAGGGTTCCCTGTTCCTCCCGTCCCACTGGGTGCAATTCCAACAGTTAAAAAGCAAATGTGAGTTGTTTGTCTCTGTGAATATAAAGCTTCCCCAAGCGTGGCTGTGTTCTGGCTGGGAGCGGGGCGGCTGGCTCCGCTAATGACTGTGTGCTCGTTTGGAGCTCTGCTCACTGCAAATGGGAGCCAGTGTGAGCCAGAAGCCTTTCCCTGCTACCCCTGCTAGGGGGACGTGGGATGAGGAGGGGACAGTCCTGGGCAATGACCCCATTTGGGGCAGCCCCGGGTGCAGGGCACACACTGGCAGTGTGGGGGGGTGGGTTGGGGGGGCGCCGGAGCTCAGGTTGCTGATCTCCTGGTGTTGGTTCCCAGCAGGAAGGGGATGGGTGTGCATGGATGATGGTGCTGGGCTGTGCCAGGTGCCCTGTAGCGACTGTGGGGCTGGAGGAGCCCTCAGCACGTGGATATATCTGTGCTGTCTGCGTGGAGCAGCAGCGGGGCCACTGAGGCAGTGTCATGATGGCACCCGGCGCTCTGTGGCCGTGGGGAGCTCAAGCCCGAATCTGGGAGCTGAGCTGTGCTCTTTGGCAGTGGTGGAGGACATTGTGCCCCCGGCACGGGGTGTGGGGTGGGCAGAGTGTGGGGCAGGTGGGCTGTGGGGCTGCATTGGGGCTGCATTGGGGCTGCATTGGGGCTGTATTGGGGCTGCATTGGGGCTGCATTGGGGCGTTCTGCTTCTTGCTTGCTGTGAGAATGCTTCCCCACCGTTCCTCCCAGTGCCATGAGGACCCCGGGGCAGGGCAGTGCTGGGACGTGGGATGGGGGGCAATGTGAAGCCCAGCTCGGTCTTCTGGGTGCAGCCACAGGTGGGCGCCGGACCCCCAGCACCCAAAACCTCCCTCCAGGCAGACCATGGCAACGTCCCCAGATGTGCGGCACATCTGGCGGGCACCAAGCAGTTAAGAGAAGGGCCGACTTGTGCCCTAAGAAACCCGCAGCTCCTTCCTTAGATCCCGTGAATCGGCCCATTGCCTGGGTTGGATAAAGCCCCATTGATCCCCGCTCTCCCCGCAGCTCGGAGCAGCTCGGGGCTCTGTGGCAGCACGGCGCTCTCCCAGCTTTTCTCTTCCTCCGCTGCTGAAGCAGAATCAGGTGAAATCGCCATGGCAACGAGCAGATGACAGCGAGTCTTGTTGCCTTGGAAATGAGACAGGGAAAAAAAAAAAAAAAAGACCCAAAAAAACCCACCCAAAAGAGCCATCTGGAATTCTGAATTTCCACCATGTCCGCCCCGTGCCTTGCGCTGGGTGTGGAGCAGCACCATCTGCCCCCAGGGCTTTCGCTTTGCTTTTGTCCCCCTTTTCTGGTGTGGATAATTTTGCTGTGGATCCCCTCGAGCTGCTGGTGGCTGCTGGAGGCTCAGGGTACCAGGGCTGAGCGCAGCCGTGTTGTGTGGCGCACACAGGTTGCACTGTGGGGGAGCACAGAGCTGTGGGGAAACTGAGGCGCAGTGCTGACCGACCCTGCTCAGGGAGCAGCCCTGGCTGCAGGACAGCCTGACCAGCGGGGGGATTTCAGGCAGTCCTGGGCTGGAGGTGTGACAGGCTGAGCAGCTTGAGCTCGTCCTGATGGAGACAGAGCTGCATTGGATGTGCAGGTGGGGTGGTTTGGGGCCAAGCATCCATTGAAAGAATAACCCACAAATGGGCCGGGGGCCCGGGCTGGATCTCTCCAGCGTGTTCGCTTGGAAAGTAGTGTATGGGAGAGACCCAATTAACTAGATTTATGGCTGCTCCAGCCTGAGAAAATCTGAATCCCTTTTAAAAGCTTGGCTCGCTGCAGCCAGACCGGGTTCAGGCTCCAGGTCTCCCAGCCCTGCCCTCATTAGGAGGAGCCATTCACTTAGCAGCAGCAGTGCCCCAGAAGTGCTGATTCGGCTGAAGTCCCATCCCAGCTGTCACTGCTGCACTGCTGCTAATTTGCTGCTCTTGCCTGCTGCCAGCAGGGAGCTGGCACGTGCTGCGGGGCTGTGGGGCTGCAGGGATGGTCCTGGTCATGAAAACTGACACGGTTATGGGGATGGTTATGGGACTGGTTGCAGGTATGGGACTGGTCATAGGTGTGGGGCTGGCTGTGACTGTGGGGATGGCCATGGTTTATGAGATGGCCCAGACTGTGCCTTGCTGTCCCTGCCAGCTTTGCCCACTGCCACCCCTCTGTTTGACCCCACACACTGGGGCTGAGCCCAGAGCACACTGAGATGCATCCATCCTCATCCCTGCGGCCGATGTCGCCCCGGGGTCACGGGGAAGGAAAGAAGGACTCATTAAACCACAGGGAGAAAGATGACGACTTGTGACCGCCGCCTGCCCAGCAGCATGAATCAGAAGTGAATGTAAGAACGGGGGATAAAGCCACGTTACTCCACGTGGAAACATTGCAGTCCTGCGCTGCAGGCGGGAACCTGCAGGGTCCCGGGTTCCGCTCTGCCCCCAGCTGCAGCGGGTTTGGGTTGGAGGCAGCAGAGGAAGAGGTCGTGAAACGCTCCGAAGGGGCAGCAGCCATCTGCGGGCCGGGCAGCGCCCCGAGGCACAGCCCCCATTTCGCACGCAGCCCTGCTGCCCTGCTGCCCTGCGCCCTGTGCGGGGCTGGCTGCCACGTGGCCCACATGTGCGCATCGTCACGGCGGCCAAAGCACATGGGGAGCACGTGGGGCGCGGAGCCGCCGGCCCAGCGGGAGGCGATGGCCGTGTGCGGAAACGCGCTGTCACGAGCTGCAGGAGCTGATGGTTTCCTCATTCCTGGATGTTCCTGGCCACGTCTGCAGTGCCCGGCTATGGGATGCGGCTGCGCCCCGTTGCGATGGTAGAGCAGCTGGCGTCGCCGAGTGAAGGAAGTCTGCGTGTGCGGATGGGGGTTGGGATGAGCCGGGCGTTCTGCCTCAGTTTCCCCACCACAATTTGTTCGCAAGGACAGAGCTGCAGGGGGTGGGGAGAGCTGCTGGGGCGGTGGCAGGAGGGCAGGAGGAGGGCTGTGGGGGCAGCACGGCGGGGCACAGGGCCGGGGTTGGGGCTGCGCTTCTGAGCTGGGATGGAGGAGACGCGCCGAGCAGGAGCTCTGTGGACACGTCCCTGGTGGGCAGTGAGCCCAGCCCAGGCTTTGTGCCCGACTGACCCCGCGGCTGAGCCGGCCCCGCTGCTCTGCGTGCCGGCAGCTGCAAACATCTGGCTGCAGCAGCTTGCTAAATCGATGAGGAGAGGAATCCGGCGCGCCGCCGCCGTTCCCACACTGCAGCCCTTCCCGGAGCTCCGGTTTGGGCAGGGCTCAGCCGGCCCCTCGCCGACACCTGGGGCTGCGGTGCTGTCGCTGCCCAGGGGACGCGGTGCTGCCCCGAGTGCGGTGTGCGGAGGAGCCCTGCCTGTGTTCAGGTGAGCCAGCGTGCCAACCTGTCCCCCCTAGGAGGACGCTGGCTCCCTCTGTCCCCAGGTGCAGAGCAGGCTGATGGCTGCTTCTGCCCCACCGTGCCCCATCCATGCTGTGTCTGCAGCCCCCAGACCCTTCCTCGCTGTCTGCACATCCCCATCCCTGTGTGCCATGCTGGGTGCCCCACATTCCGGTCGTGGCTGGGGGCTCTGCTGGTGCTTGCCAGCCCCGCTCACCCCACTGTGCTGTGGGCTTTCACCTGCTTCATTTAACCTGTCTCATCGTGGCTGCCTGTGCTCATCACTGCCTCGTAGGGTCGCACGGAAAGTGGGGCTGCATGGCTGGGGGTAGGCACACAGTCAGGGATGGGGCAGCGCTGCTGAGCCCGTGGCACTGCCTGCAGTCCCAGGGATGCAGATCGTGGGTGCTGGGGATGAGGGGGCATGGGCCCTGCTTGTGTGCTGGCCGTGCAGCCCCCCCCTGGTCCCCACAGCTCTCCTGGTGCAGTTGCACAGCCCGAGGGCTGTGTGCTGTGCTGTGTTAAGGAGGAGCCAATCCCCTCCTGCTGCCCTGGGAGATGTGGCTGTGGTTCACTGCAGAGCTTGGAATCGGGGGTCACAGCCCAGCTGTTATGCACTGGGGTCTGCATCGGTGTGTCAGGGGCACGTGGAGGGAGGAAGCTGTGCCCCAGGCTCAGCAGCGCTGTGCCAGCTGCCATAGAAAGGAGGTGGTGACCCAGTAGCCGTGTGTGCATCTGTGTGTGTTTGTGTAAGCACGTGTGCACGCAGGTGTGCTAACATGTATGTGCACATATGTGCATGGGGATGTGCTCCCAGCACAGCATTTCTGGAGCAGAAGTCCCTGTCCCAGTGGGGCTCTGCCCCTGCTGCCCGGGGTTCCCTCCTCCTGGTCCCTCTGCCCTGCTCCCAGGGAGGTGGGTTTAGCTGTGGTGCAGCAATATTAACGTTTGGATGCAGCATGGGAGCCCTTCCACCCTGCCCCATTCCCTCTCAGGTTGCAGGACGTGGTCAGAGGCACTTTGTCCCTCACAGCCTCCTCCTTGTGCCCCCACAGACCCCGAGTCCCAGAGGAAGAGGACGGTGCAGAATGTTCTGGACCTTCGGCAGAACCTGGAGGAGACCATGTCCAGCCTGCGGGGCTCCCAGGTGTCTCACAGGTGAGGACTCAGCCCCCCCCATCCCCCTCCCCATCCTTCCTGGGGGCTTCAGCTGGGGGAAGCTGTGCCCGATGTCACCCCCAGCCACGCCTGGAAGCCGGGCTTTGCAGCGAGCTGCGCTGGGCGAGCAGCTGCTCGCATCCTCTGGTTGTCTGTTGCCACCTCGTGGTCTCGCTGCGCGCTTCAGTTTTGTGTTGGAAGGGACGAGCAGCAGCAGCTCGCCGCCCCTTCACCCCCGCTGGCGCTCACGGCCCTGTGCTCCCCCGATGAAGAATTTCTCTCTGCTCAGCATTTCTTCGTGCTGAAGCTCACCCAGATCTTTGGGATCCCCACTGCGCTTTGCACATCTCTGAGCTGAAGGGAGCGAAGCCCCGGGATTTACAGGCTGTGTTCCCTGAGCCCGCGATTTCCTGGCTTTACCCACTGCAGCTCTGCAGGCTCTGCTCGGTGTGAGAGCTGCCGTGCTGCCCGCGCCCCAGCAGGGCTGCTTTGCATTTCCTTTGCATTCCCTTTGCATTCGTCTGTGTCAGATTCCATCCAGCAGTGCTCCGCTCGGCGGCTCCTCAGCAAATCCTGTCAGCCACTCTTAGGGAAATAGGACAAGGATTACAGGCGATTAAATTAGCCTTGCTGGTGGGTTTTGTCCCTCCTTTCCTTGATGATTTATGATGCTCCCCCTGGCTGAGGGCTCAGACAGATCCCTGCCACGGAGACACCGATCAGTGCATGGTGGGCCTCCATGCCGGGTTCTTGCATCCCGTGGATCCCTGACACTGCCCTGTGTCTGTGTTGGGGTGCAGCGTTGTTGCTGGGAGGTTTCACAGCCCTCGGGGTTTTCTGCTCAGTCTCTGCCCTGAGCTGCCAGCAGCACAGCTTTAAACAGCCCTTGTGCTGCCTACCAAACCGGCTCCTTTCAGCTGCTTCTTGCAGTTCTGCTTTAACAAACTTCCCAGTTTTTATACAGTTCCCTCTTTTCAGTTCCATGCTGCAGTCGGGTTTGGCTTCTGCTGCTCATGCAGGAGCGCTGGGCCCACGTGGCTGCAGCAGGGGAGCGGCTCCTGATGGCAGCGTGGAGCTGAGCCGAGGGCTGTGGGCTCCCAGGAGCTGCTCCAAGAACGAATCATTTGTGGTGTCTAAGTTTAGTCTCAGCATCACTCCCTGCCGTGCCCGAAATACACCCTGAGGTTGGGGGACAGCAGACCCCTGGGCCGGCCCAGAGGGGCACACGCTCAGCAGCACGGTGGGGCTTTCCCTGGTGGATCCCTGTTAACAGGGCTCAGCACGACCCCGGGGGGCCCTGCGGGGATGGGGAGCTCTGTGCCGTGCCGAGGAGCCGCCCCTTTTGCTTTTGCAGCCTCAGCCCCTGCTGGGACGTGTGGGGAAATGGGCAGGGGTGCACGGAGCACGGCCTGTGGATGCTCGTGTCCCTCCACACCATCTGTACGGGGAATCCCCAGCAGTGGGCAAAGCAGGGGTCTGCTGGAGCCAGGGAAGCAGGGTCCTCGATCGTCCTGCAGCTCAGAGCACAAGGGGAGCAGCGCCATCACGCCCCACATCCTGCCCCACAGCCCCTGGAGGGACTGGGCACCACCAAGCACATCCATGCAGACGGCACGGCCGTCCTCGCGGGACCTGCAGTACGCGATGTGCGGGCTGTGCTGGCCGCTGGGGGTCGGTAACCCTCCGGGCGACCCTGACCCGCCCGGCAGCCCTCACCCTGGCCCGTCCCCGCAGCTCCCTGGAGATGACGTGCTACGACAGCGACGAAGCCAACCCGCGCAGCGTCTCCAGCCTGTCGAACCGCTCCTCGCCGCTCTCCTGGCGCTACGGGCAATCCAGCCCGCGGCTGCAGGCGGGGGATGCGCCGTCGGTGGGGGGCGGCTGCCGCTCCGAGGGCACCCCCGGCTGGTACATGCACGGCGAGCGGGCGCATTACTCGCACACCATGCCCATGCGCAGCCCCAGTAAACTGAGCCACATCTCGCGGCTGGAGCTGGTGGAGGCGTTGGACAGCGATGACGTGGAGCTGAAGTCGGGATATATGAGCGACAGTGACCTGATGGGGAAGACCCTGACGGAGGACGATGACATCACCACGGGGTGAGTGCCCGGATCGGGGGCTGTTAGCAGAGCAGAGGGCTGATAAGGAGCAGCGTGGGTAGCGGCGGGGGCTGGGCCGACGGCTGGGTTTGGTGACCCTGGGGGTGTTTTCTGACCGCGATGCTTCTGTGGCTGTGTGAAAAGCACGCAGCAGCTCTGTGTTCAGAAATGCTCCCCCTGTTTCCAACGGTGGATCTGAGCACTGCTGGCACATAGTGGGACCGGTGGGATGGGATCCCAGCAAAAGCAGGGCACCAAGGTTTTGATGTCGCTGGCTGGCACCATGTTGTCCCCTCGCTATGGGTCCCCCCAGACCTCCATCCCCCCACCCCAGGGCATCTCCAGCCCAGCACTTTGTGTTTCACTCCCGCTGAGCTGGTGAGGTGCCCCTGGCTCTGGCGGGGCTCCAGGGCTTCAGCATATTGCAGGTTTCCTGTTTCAGTGCACGAGAAAATAAATAACACCAGCATTTGAGTTGTCCCAGAGCAGGAGGAGGTATTTGGCTCCAGCCCTGGATGGGTGTCCAGAGTCACGTCAGCTCCTAGCGGGACCGAGCACAGCCTGTGCATTCACACCACCCTGGGGCACCGGGGTCCTTCTGGAGCTGTGCTGTGCTGGGCTCATTGCGGTCCCTTCTGGGTACCCCATTGGTTGTGGTGTCACCAGCACTGTGGGGTGGGCCTGGAGGGGAGGGGGAAGCTGCATGGGGAGCCCATGGAGCCTGGGGTACTGCGCTCAGCTCTCAAGTTGCACCAGGGGAGGCTGAGATTGGGAATCAGGAAGGAGATCTCTATGGGGAGAGTGCCCAAAGCATTGGAACGGGAGTCCCCATCCCTGGGTGTATTTTGGTGATGGGTGGACATGGCACCAAGGGATGTGCTTTAGTGGTGGGATTCAATGGGTCAGGATGATGGCTGGACCCGAGGATCTTGAAGGACTTCTCCAGCCCATGTGTCTCTGTGATTCCCCCCTCGTGCTGGCAGGGCGTGGGGCTGCTTTGCAGACGGGGAGCACTCCCAGAGCACAGAGCAGCCCCACAGCCCCACATCCATCCTCCTCTGCTGCCTCTGACCTAGAAAGCAAACACCGCCCCAGGCTGCATCTCCCCGTGCCGCTAATGCACCGGGCAGGAGCTGCAGATGGGGCCGCCAGCCCCCGGGTCCCTGCTGCTGGGGTGCTGCGATGCGCCGGCGCACACGCGGGCTTGTAGGGCAGTGGGTCAGAGCCACCCCCAGTGCTGTGACACAGCCCTGTGGAGGGGGACGTGGTGACACGGCCCCTTGGAGGCTGCGGGGCTGCGAGATGGGACCTGGCTGGGAAAGCTCGGGAGAGCGGGACCAGGTATGGGGGCTGTGGGTGGGAGGTGGGGGTCCCATGGGGTGGGGTGGCTGTGAGGAGCCCCTGGCTGGGCTGAGGACATTTCCTGGGCTCTGGTGACCCTTGGCCCCCATCTCACCGCAAGGCTTGGCTGGGTGCTGCTGCCCAGCCCTGGGGCACAGAGGTGTGATTTTGGGGCTGGGATGCGGCCACGCGGGGCGTTCGTGTGCAGACCTGTGCGTGAATCAGGCGGAAGCGGAGGAGGCAGAGATCACTCAGGCAGGGCTTTTCAAGTCGGGTTTTGCCTGGTTCCAGCTGCCCGTGCTGCAGCTCCGTGGCTGCACGCTGTGCTGTGCATTCGATGAGCTGATGTGAGCAGCTCTGGCACTCCTGGCACAGCGAGGGCTGCGGCGTGCCGGGGCAGCCAGCTCTGCCCGGCTCCGAGCCGCCCCGCCACGTCTCCCGGGGCTGGAGAGCCCTGCATGACGTCGTGCTTTCCGCCACCCTCCTTGTGCCAGATCCTTCGTCATCCCGCCCGTTCCCTGCTGCTTCCCCACAATGCTGGCACAGCAGAATGCAGAGTCCTGGGATGCTCCGGGTGTCCCCTTGGGGCCGTGCTGCAGCGCTGTGCCGGACCTACTGTGCTCTGTGCCCGCTGCCGAGGGTGACCCCAGGAGCAATATGATTTCGGGGGTCCTTTCACCCTCATTTATCAGTGGGGAGGGGTGGAGGTGTTGTTGCATCCCATTGCGGTGTGAGCATCCACACGTCCATGGCTCTGCTTGTAGGCACAGAACGGAGCTGCAGCATCAACTGTTGGTGCTGGGATCGGGGCTGTCGCATGGTTGGGATGCAGATGCGCCCGCTCCGGCCCTGCTGCACTCACTCCGGTGCTGGCTGAGCTCCGGCTTCCTCACAGCTCCTGGAGCTCAGAGCCGGGAGCAGATGTTTGGCTCTGATCCCTGCAAGCAGCAGGGGAGCGGCCGCCCTCCTCCCCTTCTCCGAGTGGGATTGGTGCAGGCGCGCTTCTCCCTTCCCTTCACCGCCCGCGCTCGGCGCTGCCCCCCAGCCTGACCCCTCGGCACCATCGCGGCGAGCCGTGAGCTCAGCACTCAGCAGGGACGTCCCGCGGGGTGCGGCCGTGGCCCCGCACGTGGCCCTGCGTGTGTTTGGGGCCGTTGGGGAGCAGCGGGGAAGCGATGCCGGATAAATATTTGCTGCGCCACGCTGCGTGTCGGGGCTCAGCGGGGCTCCTGCGTCCATCCGGGCTGAGGGCGAGCTGGGGATGATCCCAGAAAAGGGCCTCAGAAACCCGCTGGGCACCACCACCGTTGAAGCGTGATCCTCTGTGCTGCGCTGTGTCGGATTTGTTCCTGATGTGGGGTTTGCTCCAGGAGATTCCCTGCACACGGGGCTCCCCAAGGCCAGGATTCTGCACCGGGTGTGTTGTGCAAATGGGCTCAGGGGCTGCCAGGGGATGATCCGGGGCTGGTGGCTGTCCTTGCCGTGGTCCTCCAGCCCTGTCCCTGCTCTGCAGCAGGCTGTCACCAGGGAACGGGACCGAAGGAGTGGGACTGGGGCAGTTGCTGCCCCAGCTCAAGCCTGGAGGAGCTGGATGGTGAGGAGGGTCTCTCAGGCTTGCGCCCCCTTTCTTGTTGCCTGGGGGCATGGGGTCCAGGGTTGGGGTTTTCTTGCAGCCCAGGAGCTGGCAGCACGGCTCTGCCCCATGGCTTTGCTGTTTGCCACGTGCCGCTTTGCCACGTGTGAAGGATCCTGGCCTCTGCAGGCAGAGATGTCCGAGGGCTTGTCCAGACATGGGGAAAAACAGGAATTTCGCAAGCAGGCTGAGTCACACCCCCACCCCAGCGCTGCGCTGCGACTCACTGACCTCCTCATGCAGGGCTCTGAGTGCCCCCATCCCCCAGCAGCCCGAGGTCCCCGCACAGGGATGCGATGCCTCTGGGGTTTGCAGAGCTTCAGGGGAGCAGAGAGATGGCCTGATGCTCCTCACCGTGTGCCCTGCAGCGGTGGCTGGCTGTCGGGGTGCAGTGGGGTGTGATGCTGATCCTCCCCCCTTTGGGTGAGCGCAGGCAATTCGGATCAGCTCGCTGCCTCAGTTTTAGCCCCTGCAAGGTGAGATCTCTGAGCTTCCATGGAGGATGCTGCCAGGGAAGCGCCCAGTCCTCCCGCCCCCCCCAGTAGTGATTTGTGAAGCTAATTGGTTTTTCTGCCCCATTAAGTGAATGAGAAGGGAAGAGCCTATTTCCCTGCATTTCCCAACAGTCCTGCTGGGAGCTGATGGGGAATAGTGGTGGCCATTTGCACGTCCCCAAGGCTCCCTTCGTACCAGCGACCTCCGGACATGGGGTGTGGAGACACAGCCCTGTAGAAACGGGTCTGTGCAAATCCTGCAGCTCCATCGTTGCCATGACTATGGCAGAGCAAGAGAAAAGGGCCAGGGCAGACCGAGAGGGCTCAGTATCCCCAGGGGGAGTCATCTGGGGTCAGCGGGGGCAGATGAGAGGCAAAACCATCGGGTGAAGACAACGCGGGGTGCACCGCCCCACGTCCCCTCCTTGCTCCCGGCGCTGAGCTGCTGCTGGAGGCTTCCGGGGGACCGCACCGCACCGCAACGCAGCGCAGCGCCTCGAGCGAGCGGAGATGAGCGGCGGGAGGGAGCCAAGAGGCGTTGCCGTGCGAGGACAGCGAGGAAGGAATTACTTATTTCCATGCCTGCAGGGACCGGTGCTGTTTTGCTAAAGCTGCACTTAACCCTCTCTGCCCGCTGCGGGCGAAGAGGTCCCAGCGTGCGCCGTGCCTGGGGGCAGCCACAGAAACAGATGCAGAGGGTCCGTGCTGCCGTGCACACGGGGCGCGGGGGGGTCCGGACGCAGCCCCCCTGTGCACGCGGCACGAGGGTTGAGCCCAAGAGGCTCCGGGGCTGCAAACCGGGGGTGCTGGGAGGTGGTGGTGGAGTAACGGGGGCTGTGCTGAGGGTTGTGCTGGGGGCGCTGGGCCGGGGGGTGCCAGGAGCTGTGGGGAGGGGGCGGCTTGAGGCGCTGCGAGGCTGGGGATGCTGCTCACATGGGCTGGACCTGGAGCTGCCTGCAGGGATGTGGGGTTCACTGGGGGGGACCGCAGGGCCGTGGGCCGCGATTGGGGGAGGCCGTGTCGGCCGGTGGGTGGGACCCCAACCCCATTTCGATGGGCCGAGGGGAGCCGAGCGGTGCCGAGCGGGTCCCTTTGTCGCCGAGCCGGGCCGGGCCGCCGCCGCCGCTGCCGCTTTAACGCGGTGGGGCGGTCCCGCCGCCGCCGCCCCTCCCGCCGCGCCCGCGGGGCCGCAGCCACGGGCAGCAGCATGCTGCGGGCCGGGAGGCCGCGCCGCGCCCCGCGCCTGGTCGCCAGGTAGGGCCCGGCACCGCATCGCATCGGGACCGGCACCGGCGGACGCGGCGCGGCTCGGGGCGGGGCGGGCGCATTGCGGGCGGGCGGCTCCCGGCCCGGCGGTGCGGCGGCTCCGGGGCGCGGGGCTTTGTCTGCAGGGCCCGGAGCCCCGGGGCCGAGCCGCGGGTGGGCTTTGTGTCGGTTGCACCGGGGGAGCGCGGCGCGGCCCCGCCCGCGATCCCCGCGGCTCTCGGTGCCGGGTTGCGGGCTGGGTGCGGGCTGGGCTCGGCGCGGTGCCGGCGCGCGGATCGCCGCTAAGATGGAGGGGCTGCGGGCGTGCGGCACAAAGCCGGGCTGAGCTCTGACCCCGCTGCCCGCACAGCCCCGCGGCGCAGCCCCGGGACCGCGGCACGTCGGGGTGCCCCGTGCCGCCCATCGCCCGGGGGCTGCCGCCCCCCCCGGGGCACGGCGTCCCCCCGGAGGTCCCTTGGGCGCCCGCCCGGCTCCCTCACCGGGTTTGCAGCGCTCGCTGCGGTGCGGTGCCGTGGCTGCTGCTCGCGGGGGGGTTGCAGGGTGACCTTGGCTGCAGGACCGCTGGTTTTGCCCATCGCGGGTTGGCTGCGTGCGTTCAGCCGGGAGCCGTCACTGCCCGGGGTGATGCTTTCCTTGCAGGGTGATTGCCCCGGTGCAGTGCTCGGTTTTGGGGACCCCTTTGCGTGCCGGCTGGAGGCACTGAGTGCTCTGAGGACGTTTCCTGTACCCTGCAGCTGTGCTGGGGCTTGGTGGAGCGGGGAAGTGCTTGGAGAGCTGGATGCCCTGGAACGTGGGGGTTTGGGGGTGTTGGGTTCCCCCAGCCCTGTTCCTGTTTAACGGGAGTTCTGTGTGTGCCAACACCCTGAGCCTCCGTGTGAGGTCGGGAGACCTTTTGGCGTCAGCCCCGCTGGGCTGGGGGGAACTGCAGAGACCCACCTTGGGCTCAGTCACATCCAGGGGTGCAGCTCCCCAGGGCTCTGCCCCAGCTCCGTGCCGTGCTGGAGTGCTGCCTGCCGCGGGGTTGGTACCGAGAGATGCTGATGTGGGGTGGTGGAGGAGTTTTGCTTTGTGTTTTGGGGATTTCTGTCCCGGCGAGAAATCCCCAGAGCTGGGCCGGTGGTGGGAGCCGGGCAGCCCCGTGGCACTTCCTGGGCACGTGGTTGTAATTAAATCCCTTCCTGGGCAGCGGTGCTCCTCTGCAGGGATGCAGGGGGCTGTGTCCGTTCCGGTCCCTGTGTTTGGGAAGGCCAGCAGGGGCAGGACTTGGATCCCGCCGTGCCCTGCCGGGGTCTGCAGCGGCTGTGGGATCTCACAAGACGTGCTGGGGCCTCTGCCCCGGGGCCGGACTCTGCTCGCCCATCCATGAATCTGCGGTGCATGACAACAGCTGTGCTCCTGGGGACCGTGTGGGGAGGGACGGCTCATCCCGACCCCCTGCCGTGGGGGCGGGCATCCGCTGTGCAGCCCTGCAGGAAGCTCTGTGTGCTTCCCGGTCGTGTTCTGGCTCCCCTGGGATTTCCAGCTCAGTGACCCCAGCACCCTTCATTTCTGGCAGAGCTCGCTCCCCACCCACGGGTAGGGGTTTGCAGACCCCAGCCCAGCACCTGGCGCTGTGCTGCAGGTCACTGAGCTAACTTGGCTTGCTGTATGGCTCCATCCCTGTGTTTGGGTGTCCCTGGACCCCAGGTGGCAGAGATGCTTGGTGGGTGCCATCCCTGCCTGCCCTGTCCCCAGGGCTGCTGTGTCACTTGTGTGATGCTTCTCAGTTCCCCAGCTGCTGCTGCTTGTTGGGCTCCTGCTTTTCTGTGATGCCGGTGCTGCGGTGCAGACTCTTCTGCTGGGGACCCCGCGGCTCTGCTCCCTTCTCCTCCACTACTGCTTCTCCCTCCCAGCCCAATTCAGGGCTGCGGGGGCCTCGCTGACCTACTGAGCCGTTGACCTGAAAGGGGCTGTGCTCACCCTGCTGGAAGACGCCCGTGCTGAGTGACAGCCCTGGAGATGGGCTTGTGCACGCTCTGCTGCGCCCTCGGCACGGAGCAGCTGTTGGGGCACACGGAGGTGCTGCGTCCTTGCGGATGCTGGGCAGCCAAGGAAGGGTGGAGGCTGCAGGGTGCTTGGATGCTGTGCTCCGTGTTGGGTCCCTGCCCTTTCTGGGAATCCTCCCGACCCTCTGGGTGGGACCGCTTGCAGGGGTCTCGGTGCCAGCCCCGGTGCAGGTGGTGGCCCCCCGTGCTGCCGCGTCCGTAAAACATCTCTCTGGGGCCTTGGTGGGGAAATTGCGGGGTTTGAAGGCTCTGCCAGGCTGGGCTGCAGCCATCTGTGGCTGCCAAGCGTCGGCTCCCTGCCAGGCTGACGGGGCTGAGGTTGGAGCCCCGGGGTGGAGCGAAGCCGGTGGGTGGTGGGGAACGGCCGGGCCGGGGGGTGACGCTGGCTGTGCCATTGCAGCTGGGATGAGAGCAGCTCCATCAGCAGCGGCCTCAGCGATGCCTCTGACAACCTCAGCTCGGAGGAGTTCAATGCCAGCTCCTCGCTCAACTCCCTGCCTTCCACCCCCACGGCCTCGCGCAGGAACTCGGCCATAGCGGTAGGTGCTGCCATCCCCTCCGGGCAGCGTGGCAACGCGTGGGGAAACCGAGGCACGGCAGAGGCATGGCGCGGTGACCCGGTGGGGCTGTGAGCACCCTTGGGTGCCCGGTGCCCCCCATCCCCTGGTGCACCCATGGCTCCGTTCTGCCCGCAGCTGCGCACCGACTCTGAGAAGCGCTCGCTGGCGGAGAGCGGGCTGAGCTGGTACGGCGAGGCGGACGAGAAGGCGCCCAAGAAGCTGGACTACGACAGCAGCAGCCTCAAGATGGAGCACGGCTCCTCCAAGTGGCGGCGGGAGCCTGCAGAGAGCTGCGAGGAGGGCTCCAAGGGTGGAGAGCTGAAGAAGCCGGTCAGCCTGGGCACCCCCGGCTCCCTCAAGAAGGGCAAAACCCCACCGGTGGCAGTGACCTCTCCCATCACCCACACGGCCCAAAGCACCCTCAAAGTGGCAGGTGAGGCCGGGATGGGGCACGGCACGGCTCCTCGGGGGGGAGGTGGTGGGGTTACATGGGAAGAGGGGAGGTTACGATTAGATATGGGGGGAAATCCTTTACTTAGAGCACGGTGAGGCCCTGGCACTGCTGCCCAGAGCTGTGGGTGCCCCATCCCTGGAGGTGCCTGGGGCCAGGGACGGGTCCTGGGCAGCCTGAGCTGAAGGGGGGCACCCAGCCCACGGCAGGGATCGGGGCTGGGTGATGTTTAAGGTCCCTTCCAACCCAACTGTTCCTTCCTCTCTGTCATCTCTGCTTTCCCATCTCCATTGCTTCCCTCAGCTCTGAATTGTTTTGCACCTAACTGTCCCTCAGACCTCCCCGCTCACTCATCCTTCCTTCCCCACCAGGCAAACCCGAGACCAAAGCCACCGATAAGAGCAAGCTGTCAGTGAAGAGCACGGGGCTGCAGCGCTCCTCCTCTGACGCTGGCCGCGATCGCGTCGGCGATGCCAAGAAGCCGCCCTCGGGTCTCACGCGCCCCTCAGCCTCCAGCTCCTTTGGCTACAAGAAACCGGCCCCGGCCACCGGCACTGCCACTGTCATGCAAGCTGGGGGCTCAGCAACGCTGGGCAAGATCCAGAAGAGCTCCGGTATCCCCGTCAAGCCGGTCAGCGGGCGGAAAACAAGCCTGGATGTCTCCAACGCAGCCGAGCCCGGCTTCCTGGCCCCGGGGGCTCGCACCAACATCCAGTACCGCAGTCTGCCCCGGCCGGCCAAGTCCAGCTCCATGAGTGTGACTGGTGGCCGCGGCGCTAACCGGCCGGTCAGCAGCAGCATCGATCCCAGCCTGCTCAGCACCAAGCAGGCCAGCATCACGGTGTCGCGGCTCAAGGAGCCGTCCAAGATCGGCGCTGGCCGTGGCACGCCGGCCCCCGTGAACCAGACGGACCGGGAGAAGGAGAAGGCCAAGGCCAAGGCCGTAGCGCTGGACTCCGAGTGCGTGACGCTGAAGAGCGTTGGCTCTCCTGAGAGCACCCCCAAAGCCCAGGCCAACCTCCCGCCGGCGGCCAAGGTGGCTGAGCTGCCCCCCACCCCCCTCAGGTATGACCCTCCCACCTAGAATCTAGAATCATAGAATCATTAAAGCTGGAAAAGACCTCTGAGGTCATCAAGTCAAAGCATCAACCCGTCATCACCGTGCCCACCCATAGAGTCATTAAGGTTGGAGAAGACCTCTAGGCCCACCAAACCCAACCCGTGCCCACCCACCCATGCCTCTCAGTGCCATATCTGTGCTTTACTTGAACGGGGTCCTTTGGGATGTTGCACCCAGTGCCTGCTCTCACTTTGTCTCATCCATTTTTTACCCCAGAGCGGCTGCCAAAACCTACGTGAAGCCTCCCTCATTGGCCAACTTGGACAAGGTCAACTCCAACAGCCTGGACTTGCCCTCCTCCAGCGAGCTGCATCCCCCACACACTGCCAAGCTCCAGGACCTGCACCCAGCTGGCGGGCACCTGACACCCTGCTTCAGCCCCAGTCCTGCTCCCATCCTCAACATCAACTCGGCCAGCTTCTCCCAGGGCCTGGAGCTCATGGGCGGCTTCAGCGTCCCCAAGGAGGGCAGGATGTACCCTAAGCTCTCCGGCCTGCATCGCAGCATGGAGTCCCTGCAGATGCCCATGAGCCTGCCCAGTGCCTTTTCGGGGGGCAGCACCGCCACCCCCAGCCCTGCTGCTGTCCCCCCTGCCAGCACAGAGGAAGAGGAGGAGGCGGGTGAGCTGGGCTGGAGCGGCAGCCCCCGGCTTGCACACCTGGACAGGTATGAGCAGAGGGTGGGCAGCAAGACTCAACCCCATAACCCTGTCCATCATCATCCTCCTCTGGCGTTTGCTTGCTTCAGAGGTTCATTCTGGGGGGAAACGTGCATCCCCCTCCTGTCACCCAGCCCTTAGCTGCCTCATCACATTCCCCTGTCTGTGCAGGGAGGTGACTGATCTTCCCTTCCCTTCCAGCACCAACCGTGACAGGAACACGCTGCCCAAGAAGGGGCTGAGGTAAAAGGGTCCACGTGGCTTTTGGGTGGCGCAGGGAGGTTGGATGGGTGGGCAGAGCACCCAGCAGTGTGGGGCTGGCTGTGCAGGAGGTGGGGAGGTGTCCACACCATCTCACTCCATGCTCCGCTCCAGGTACCAGCTGCACTCCCAGGAGGAGGCCAAGGAGCGCCGCCACTCGCACACCATTGGAGGGCTGCCCGAAGCGGACGATCAGCCGGAGCTGCCCTCACCCCCTGCCCTCCCCATGGCTCTGGTTGGGAAGGGTCCGCTCACCAGCATCGGTCAGTGCCCACCTCCTCCTTGTGCCAGCCTGGGTCTCTCTGTGCCCCTATGCCCCGGTTCGTTGCTGGGCCTGCTCCAGAGCCTAGGGTCACTGTTTTGTTGTTTTTTTGGCACACCCAGCTCTCATCCCATTCCTTTTGCCACACTGAGGTTCTGGGTTGTGGCTGGGGGCCGACGGCTTTGCTTCAGGGCATCCGACTCATCCTCGGTGCCCTGCATGCTCCTCTGGGGGTGCAGAGTGGAGCCCTGCTGCGTTCTCGCTGGGACCTATGTGTCCCAGGAGGGTCTGGGGGACTCAGGCAAAGGGACTGGGCCTGGCAGCAGGTGATGGGGTGCATCACACTGCACCCGGAGGTGACCGGAGTGCTACCTGCACAGTGGCACCAGCTGTGCCCAGCTTGGTGGATTTCTCAGCTCCATGTTCACCAGGAGGCATTGCCTTGGGTACAGCTTACCAGTCTTCCCTGCGTAAACCTGCTTTTTAGCTTTCCTCCCGTCCTCCTGCTTTGGGACTGCAATCCCTGCTTCCTTTCCCCATCCCGGCTCCCCAGGTCCACTTCCAGCCCCGCTTCCCCATCCCAATCCCCTGCCCGGCTCTGACCCCTCCTCTCCCCTCCCTTCTCCTTGCAGTGAGCCCCACTGCCACCACCACCCCGCGGATCACCCGCTCCAACAGCATCCCCACCCACGACTCCACCTTTGAGCTGTACAGCACCTCCCAGATGGGCAGCACCCTCTCCCTGGCAGACAAACCCAAGGGCATGATCCGCTCGGGCTCCTTCCGGGACCCTGTGGATGACGGTGAGAGTATGCTTGGGATGGAGGGGCTGTGGGGCTCCCCAGGCCCTCGCCACTTTTTCTGGGCTCTGCTGGAGGGGCTGCTGCATCCAGGCATCAGCGCAGTGCATCCCGACCCGTGCAGGTGCTGCTGGGCAGGTTGGAGCCCTGCTGGGTGGCTGGAGGTGCCCGGTGGCCTTGGGTTGGCACCGGGGACGGGGAACCCGAGCATCCAGCATGGGTGGCAGAGCCTCAGGCTCAGTCAGAGCAGGTGGAGGGTGCTCCCTGCCGTGTGCCCAGGCAGGAGGATGCTGGCCGAGTGCCGAGGAGTGGGCAGCGTCCTGCAGCTCTGTCCCCACTCCGGGCTCTTTGCGGAGCCCCTGTGGCATTATCCTGTGCCTTTAACCCCAGGCAGCACTCAGTCTGTTGACACACTGGGTTTTGCTGTGTTGCAGTTCATGGATCGGTGCTGTCCCTGGCCTCCAGCGCGTCCTCCACCTACTCCTCCGTAAGAGCTGCCGCCGGGCTGCGCCTCCTCATTGCATGGCTATGGGCTGGGGGGTCCGAGGGGGGGAAAATGATGCTGAGCTATGCGGGGGGGCTCCGTGCATGTCCTCTGTCCCGTGCTGAGCCTGTCTGCGCCTCGCTGCCCTCCTGACTGCCTGCCTCTGTCTGTCTCTCTCTGCCCTCACGCTGCCAGGCTGAGGAGAAGATGCAGTCTGAGGTGAGCCCGTGCCCAGCGCTGCTACTTGGTCCCCACCCACAGCCGCTGTGAGCGCACGGCCCCTCTCACCCCTCTGCTCTCTCCTTGCAGCAAATCCGCAAGCTGCGTCGCGAGTTGGAGTCCTCGCAGGAGAAGGTGGCCACGCTGACATCCCAGCTGTCTGCTAACGTGAGTTCCTGCAGGATGTGTGGGGCTGATGCTCACCTCCACTCTGGTTCCCTTAGGAGCTGACCTGCTGTGGGCTCTGCTCCGCGCTCCTCTTCTCTGCCCCAGGAGGAGTCCCCTCTGCTGCTCCCTGCCACCTGCACTGAGCAGCCCTGGGGCTGCAGGTGCTCACCCTTCTCTCCATCTCTCCCAGGCCAACCTGGTGGCAGCTTTTGAGCAGAGCCTGGTGAGCATGACGTCCCGCCTGCGGCACCTGGCCGAGACCGCTGAGGAGAAGGTGGGTGGGTGCTCAGGGTGCCGGAGCTGGGGGTGCTCTGGAGTTCTCCTGCACCACTGGGATGCGCTCCATGACTCGTGGCTCTGCTCCTGCAGGACACGGAGCTGCTGGACCTGCGGGAGACCATCGATTTCCTGAAGAAGAAGAACTCAGAGGCCCAAGCCGTGATCCAGGGTGCCCTGAATGGCACCGATGTTGCTCCCAAAGGTAAGGCATGGTGGTCTGCTGGCCACCAGGGGGCTGGGACCTCGAGAGCCTCAGCTGTGCGGTTAGGAGCTGGCATCTGGGTTGAGCCAGCTGTTTGGGGTTCCTTAGGCTCTTCTCCACCTGGGGTTCCCAATGCCTGTGTGTCACAGCCAGAACTGTCATCGCAGGTCTTGGTGCTGGTGTGTGGGGAATGAGATGGTTGTCCTCCCCCAGACCTCCCCTCACTGGGCCTGTTGCCACCAATATGTTCCTAGCTACTCATCTTGGCTTTATTCTCACAAATGCTCAAGTGTTTCTTACCCCCAGGTCCCACTGTGGGTGTGGGGTGATGGCAGGGAGGCAGCCTGGAACCTGAGGGGAACAGTGTCTGCTCTGTGCACGTCCCTGGTTGTCAGCACCTCATGTCCCCTTCCTGCCTGGTTTGGGTGGGCGAGGGGGAGAAGGGGCGGATTGCAGGTGGGTTGGGAATATGTGACGGCTCTGGTACTGGATAGATGCAGTTTAATCGCTCCCTTCTTGGTCTCTCCCCTTGTCTGCTTTCCCTTGGTGGCCCCAGAGCTGCGCATCAAGCGGCAGAACTCCTCAGACAGCATCTCCAGCCTCAACAGCATCACCAGCCACTCCAGCATCGGCAGCAGCAAAGATGCCGATGCCAAGAAGAAGAAGAAGAAGAGCTGGGTGGGTTGGGCAGGGGGCAGGCGTGGGGAGGGGGTGCGGGGTCTGGGTGGGCTCAGCCCTATGAGCCAGCTGCACTCACTCTGTTGTGACCTCGTGGTGTTGGTCCCCTCTGTCCCCTGGGGACAGCACTGGCAAGGAGCACAGAGCACCATGGACTTGTCCTGTGCTGCCGGGGGCCAGGGCTTCCCCAGCTCCTCCAGGAGTTTTCCAGCTCTTATCCTGCACAGCTGCTCCTCGTGGTCTCTCCCACTTGTCAGCCCTGCCCCCGCAGGGGAATTGGCCTGGGGCTTTGCAGGCACTCAGCCAGGTGGCCCCGAGCTGGATGCATGATTAAGTCTCGCTTTGTTCTGTTTCTCTTCCCCCTATGCTGACCTCATCCCTTTTTTTCCAGGTGTATGAGGTAAGTCCTATGCTGTGCCCTCCACCCCATGCTGTGCCTGCCCTGGGTGCTCGCTCCATTTCACGGGAAGGCACTCATGACACAGAGCATCGCATCCCACTGGCACGAACCCCAGGGCTTTGTGCTGAGCACGCCTTGGTTGCTTCCTGCAGGCTGAACCCCCTGGGCAGCTTGGCAGAGATCCCTGGGGCAGGATGGGGACCTGTCCCATGGATGGTGTCTGTCCTCTTCTTGCTTGGGGCAGGCATCACAGCCATCCAAGGGCAGCCCCACAAAGGAGACACTGCAGCCCTGATTGGTGTGGTGCTGCCCTCATTGGGCTGTGCACCAGGTGTCACGGTGCCCAGCTCCACAGCTGGCCCCAGGGGTGACCCCCAGCCTGCCAGTGGGGCTGAGTTGCTCTGTTCCCCTCAGGGCCCGTGTAGGTCCCACTATATTATTGTCATCAGCAGAGCCAGGCACTCTGCTTGGTTTTTGCACGAACCATCCCATCCTCTCCATCGTGACAGTTTTGCTCCTGGGATTGCCAGCTTAGCTTTTCTACAGCCAGTGGGAGGTGGGCTGCATCCTGCCCGCTCTCCACCCCCTTCTCCATCCACCTCCCACTGGAACATCCACCCCCAGGGGGATGCGCTGTGAGCTCAGTGTCCCAGAGGTGGACTGTGTAAGCCATGGTTTGGCCCCTGCACAGCATCCCTCTGTTCTCTCCAGCCTTTCCCACTCATCTGTCTGCCACTGTGTGTGTGCTGTGTGCATGCTGCATGCCCACCCTCGTGCCCCACACCTCCAGAAGGATGCAGAGGGGCTCAGGGTGTCCCAGGACCCAACTCTGCGGTGGCTGGGTGCTGCAATGTCCTGCTTGCTGGGTTGGCTGCTGGGTGACTGCCAGCATGGAGTCTGCTCTTTGGGATGGAGCAGGATGCTGGTGCGGTGCCCCAGTGTGGGTGCTGGTGGGGGAGCGTGGCTGGGAGGTGGGTCCTGTGGTTGGTGCTGGTTGGGGTGGAGGCTGTGCCAGCAGAGCAGGGTGGTTGTAGTGGGCAGTCCTGCCTCAGTGGTGGTCCTGCTGTCTGGTCCCAGTTCAGGCTGCCTGTGGGCATGGGCACGAGGCTGGGCCAGGACTGCGTTTGCAGGGCTGTCTCTAACAGGAGTGTTTCTGTCTCCTGTAGCTGCGTAGCTCCTTCAACAAAGCCTTCAGCATCAAGAAGGGGCCCAAGTCGGCCTCGTCCTACTCAGACATTGAGGAGATCGCCACGCCGGACTCATCAGCCCCGTCCTCCCCCAAGCTCCAGCACGGCTCCACCGAGACCGCCTCGCCCTCCATCAAATCCTCCACCTCCTCCTCTGTGGGCATCGACACGGCTGAGTGCGTGGTGCAGGGGACGAGGGCTGGCCGTGGGGTGGCTGCGCGCCCGCCCCAGCCCTGAGCACACCTCGGTCTCTCCCTGGCCCAGGCTCTTCCAGGCGCACGGTGAGGGCGAACCAGAGAAGAAGGAGGTGTCAGAGCTGCGCTCGGAGCTGTGGGAGAAGGAGATGAAGCTGACGGACATCCGCCTGGAGGCCCTCAACTCGGCTCACCAGCTGGAGCAGTTGCGGGAGACCATGCACAACATGCAGGTGGGGGTGGCTGCTCTCCCCAGAGCCTTGTTGTGGCTCTTGGGGCACTGCCAGCACACAGCTGCTCACCCGGGCCGTCCTGCTCTTCTTCCCTCAGCTGGAGGTGGATCTCCTGAAGGCAGAGAACGATCGGCTCAAAGTGGCTCCGGGGCCCTCGGTGGTGCCGGGATCCATTCCTGGCCACATCACCAGCACGTCGGCCTCCTCGTCGCCACGGCGCTCGCTGGGGCTCTCCCTGGGCCATGCCTTCAGCCCCAGCCCGGGGGACGCCGGTAGGGATGGCGGAGCTGCCTGTGCTGATGGCTGTGCAGGGTCTGGCTCAGGCTGGATGTACTCAGACCCCCCGCCTCTGCTTTGTCCCCAGACATGTCTCCCATGGACGCCGTCAGTGCTGGCACCCAGAAGGATGAGCTGACGCTGAGGATCGTGGTGCGCATGCCGCCCCAGCACATCATCAAGGGGGTAAGCGTGGGCTGTGCAGGAGTCCCGACCTGTCCCTGTGGGGCAAAATGCTGTGCTCCAACCCCACACACCTCTGCCTTGGCTCCTAGGACCTCAAGCAACAAGAGTTTTTCCTGGGCTGGACCAAGGTGAGCGGGAAGGTGGACTGGAAGATGCTGGATGAGGCTGTCTGCCAGGTCTTCAAGGTAGGAGCGTTGTGACTCCTCTTCTGAGAGCCTTCCTCATGCTTCTCTGTGCCTGGGTCCTGACTGGGGACTCAGGGAGCTGCTGAGCCCTGCTTGCTCTTTAACAGACCCGTCTTTGTCTTCACAGGATTACATCACCAAGATGGATCCTGCCTCCACGCTGGGGCTCAGCACTGAGTCTGTTTATGGCTACAGCATCAGCCACATCAAGCGGGTCCTGGACACGGAGCCTCCGGAGCTGCCGCTGTGCCGCCGGGGCATGAGCAGCATCGTGGTGACACTCAAAGGTCGGTGAGCAGAGAGGCTCCACGGCTGTGCCGTCCTCCCTCTGTCCCCTGGTGCCACAGGGTGTGAGCGGGACGCTCATCCCTCCCTGCAGGCTTGAAGGAGAAGTGCGTGGACAGCTTGGTGTTCGAGACGCTCATCCCCAAGCCCATGATGCAGCATTACATCAGCCTCCTGCTGAAGCACCGGCGGCTCATCCTCTCGGGACCCAGCGGCACCGGCAAGACGTACCTGACCAACCGGCTGGCCGAGTACCTGGTGGAGCGCTCGGGCCGGGACGTCACCGAGGGCATCGTCAGCACCTTCAACATGCACCAGCAGTCCTGCAAGGTGAGGGACTGTCCCTGTCGGTGCTGCTGTCCCACTTGATGCTGGGGCCGTTTGTGATGCTCCGTTGTTTGCAGGACCTGCAGCTGTACCTCTCCAACCTGGCCAACCAGATCGACAGGGAGACGGGCACGGCAGACGTGCCCCTGGTCATCCTCCTGGACGACCTCAGCGAGGCGGGCTCCATCAGTGAGCTCGTCAACGGCGCGCTCACCTGCAAGTACCACAAATGGTGAGAACTCTGCTGTGTCCCCATCCTGCACAGCCTCCTGTGAGGCCACGTATGTGCCTGGCTCTGCTGCGGCTGGGAGTGATGCAGGCTGCTTTTTCTCATCGATCCCATCTCTCGCTCAGCCCCTACATCATCGGGACCACCAACCAGCCTGTGAAGATGACCCCGAACCATGGTCTCCATCTCAGCTTCAGGTAGAATTATAGACTGTCCCAAGATGGAGGAAACCCGTAAGGATCCAACTCCTTAGGATTATACATCCCTGGGGAGCGTTCTGGTGGGCTTGGGGAGGCCAGAGGCTGTCACTCCTTGCTGCTGGGCAGTCCCAGGAACACATACTGTGGTGGGGGAGCCTGATGAGGACCAAGCCCCATGCCTTTGCCTGCCATCCCAGAAGGGTCTGATTGCCTCACCCCTGGGCTTGGGACATGTGGGGGTCCTAGGAGCCTCTCCTAAGGGTCCGAGGACCGTGAAGGGGGTTGGGAGGCACTGTGGTACGTGGACAGCCCCATCCCTGAGCACCCCGGTCTCCCCCAGGATGCTGACCTTCTCCAACAACGTGGAGCCAGCCAATGGCTTCCTGGTGCGCTACCTGCGGAGGAAGCTGCTGGAGTCAGACACGGACGTCAACGCCAACAAGGAGGAGCTGCTGCGTGTGCTGGACTGGGTGCCCAAGCTCTGGTACCACTTGCACACCTTCCTGGAGAAACACAGCACCTCCGACTTCCTCATCGGTATGGCCAGTGCCTTTCTCTTCTACATCATCTTTGGGTGCAGCTTTGCTGGCGTGGGGCGGGTGGCTGGAGCCAGAGAGCCCAGCTCCCATCTGTACTCTGCCTCCTCCTGCAGGTCCCTGCTTCTTCCTGTCCTGCCCCATTGGAATCGAGGATTTCCGGACCTGGTTCATTGACCTGTGGAACAACTCCATCATCCCTTACCTGCAGGAGGGGGCGAAAGATGGGCTCAAGGTACCCAGCGCATCCTGGCGCGTGGGGACACAAAGCAGGGCCCAGCTCAGAGCTGGTGGCGCCTGGGCTGTGCTGGCACCCTTGGGGTGGGGTGAAGGTTTGGTGTGCAGGTGCCACCTCTCTTGCCCCCTGCCTGCAGGTCCACGGGCAGAAGGCAGCCTGGGAGGACCCCGTGGAGTGGGTGCGGGACACCCTGCCCTGGCCATCAGCACAGCAAGACCAGTCCAAGCTGTACCACCTGCCCCCACCCACCATCGGACCCCATAGCACTGTCTCCCCCCCCGAGGAGCGCACTGTCAAAGACACAACGCCCAGCTCCCTGGATGCGGACCCCCTGGTATGGCTGCGGTGTGCTGGGGAGGGGGTGGGTGGTGCTGGTGGAGGGAGAGCAGCACGGAGCTGAGCATTGCTTTCCCAGTTAGTTTTTGGTGTAAAAACCCTGATTGAGAGATGCAGAAAAGTTGGGTCTTTCTGGGTGGGTGCAGGATGCTGGCGCCAATAGAAATCATAGAGTTTGGAAAAGACCTTTGGTAACATCAAGTCCAACCGGCACCCCGTCCCCACTGCGTCTGCTCCTAGAATCACGGTGATCCTTCCACCCTTAATGATTCTGAGATCACCAAGTCCATCCCTCAGCCCATCTCTCCGTGCCCTCCAGCCACATCCCTCAGCGCACCAGGGCCCGTTCCCCTGCGCATGCTGAGCCATAGGCATCAAGGCCAGCTCACGAGGTGGGGGGGGGAAGGGTTTGCAGCACGTCCAGGCTTTGCTTTCCTCTCTGACGTCCCCCCCTTACTGGGTGGGCTCCTCGGGAGGGCAAGGATTCCGGGCTGAGTGCCACGCGCTGCTCCCCACAGATGGCCATGCTGCTGAAGCTCCAGGAAGCCGCCAACTACATCGAGTCTCCGGATCGTGAAACCATGGTGGATCCCGACCTGCAGTCGACTCTGTGAGGCACTCACATGCTGGCCCAGGTGCAGGGGGCGGCCGCCGGGCTGCCCTCCTCCTCCTCTTCCTCCTCCGGTAGCCTGGAGCGCAGGGCTGGGGCTGGCGAGCGGTGAGGAGCGGAGCCCTGTGCAGCTCTGCGCAGCGTGGGGAAGCTCAGCTCTGCCGTGGGAGAGTGCGAGGCTCCGCTTCCCCACCCCTCTTTGGGGGTAGGAGAATCCTGGTTTCTCTTCTTGGTTTTTCTGTCTCTATTGCAAACTCTCGGGTTTTGGAGCTGCTGCGGCCAAGCCCCCGCTCCAGGGAGCTGCAGGATGGGCCCTGCGTGGGGCAGGGACCCCGTGGGAGCCCCCTGGGCTGGAGCTGGGGGGTGGGAGGACGTGTGGCCGTGTCTGTGTGTCCGGCACCGTGCTCCCACTGCTCTCTTTGTACATTCCTCATTTAACCTGCTTGGCAGCCGCTGCACCCAGGACAACCCAATAAACCCCGCTTCGGTTATTTTATTTTATTACTCCCCCCTCCCTTTTTCGTTTGACCGAGTCCAGACTTTGCTTTGCTCCCTTTTTTGTTCTGGTTCTTTGCTCTCCCAAGCCTGAGCCCATGCTCTGGTGCCCATCGCTTCCCCCCCTGAGCAGCTCTGCTTCCTTTTGGTTTCTTTTACAGCTGTTGGTCCCACCACTCCACACACTTCCGTCACACAACTGGTGCTCACTGGACAACCTCCAGTCCCCAAATCCACCTCTCCAGTTGCCTCATATCTTGGCTGGGATGGGTCTGGGCAGGTGGTGGTAGGGGGATGCACCCGGAGAGCCCCTTTGCCTGGAGGCCCCCTCCCCAAAAAGCACAAGGCAAAGTGTGGCCTTGGGCCAGGGGGGGTGCTGTGGGGCTGCCAAGGGGCAGCACAGTGCTGTGGGGCAAGGGGTGGCAATTTGCTCCCATCCCCTCTCTGCTGCCGGGTTGGGTGGCACAGGGACAGAGCCGTGCCTGACATTGTCCCCGTGCCTCTGGCTCACCACTGCCCCATGGGGTTTTGTGACCCCCCCAGGCCCACCCTGTGCCCTGCAGCCGCACAGTGCCCTCTCAGCATGGGCTCTCCATACCCTCACTGGTGCTCTGGGGACATCCAGCTGGGGCCACGCGTCCCCTTGGCCCTATGGTGCAATGTCACAGGCGCTGCTCCCTGCACTGCCTTAATCCCTGTGGGTAGGGGGCACGCAGGGCTGGAGGGGGGGGCCACTGGCACAGCCCGCATTTGCTGCCTCCAAAGCCAGCTGGGCTGGGATGGGACTGTGGTGCCAGTGCTTCGCTGAGCGCTGCCCAGCTGGGGCCACTGCCTTCGGTCCCTTTAGTACCCTTCTCTTCCCCTCCTCCCTGCCCCGCAGAGGGCACAGCACCTTTAGGGGAGCCGTTCCCCACGGCTGCTCTGCCCCCCACTGCCTTCAGGGACCCCCCCCCACCTCCCTGGGGCTCTGTGTGCCCCCCGCTGCCCTCGGTGCTCTCCTGCCCGCGCAGCCCTCCCGCGCGGCCCCATGGTGCTCACTTCTCCGTCTGTCCCACAGCCTCCCCGCTGCCAGCCCCTCTGCACAGGGCTGTCCCTCCCCACGCTGGCTTGGACGTTAGGGCTTTCCGTTTGCCTTCTGTTGTGTTGTCAGCTGAGGACTCGCTGTAAATAGATCCGTAGTCGAACGCCCTGCGTGAGTTGGCGGGGTCCGACCCTGCGCGTCTTTCTCCTTTTTTTGTACTCTGTGATAACTGTGCTGTGCTGACTTCTTTTCTGATTGTACCAGGTGTTGGCTCAGCAGCAGCTCGAGGTTGGGGACCCGCACTCCCCTCTCACCCCCCTCGGGACCTTAACGCCCTGAGGACGGGGCACAAAGCACCTTTGGGGGCCCTGGAGGAGCCCCGCAGTGCACGGTGTTGGTGCAGCCTCACACTGGGATTTCATCCCTGGCACCACCACGGAGCCACCAAAACACCCCACAAACCCTCACAGGACACGCACTGCAGCGTCCCCTTGTGTGGCCTGTGGGGTCGCCCCAAACCTGTGGGTGCAGACACCCAAGCCCTGTGGGATGAACAGCAGCTACAGCCGGGCCCTGGGCACGGTGGGTGCTGGGTGGGGCTTCCTAGTGGGGTCCCTCACCCAAAGGGGACCGGCGTTGGTGGCTCCTGTTGGTGTCCCCCAGTGTGGTGGCACCCATTGGGGAGGTTGGGGACCCTCAGGGTGCCCACACCCATGGATCCCACCATTGCTCTGCCCATTGCTGGGGCTGCCAGCCACCCCTGGGTGCTTGCTGTCCCCGTGGGGACGCTGTGCTAAGGCTGCCTGCTGGCCCCGAGGTGCCGTCACCCCAAAGGCGCCCGCGGCCCCTTGGAGCACCAGGAGCCCCCCCCCCACCCTCGAGCTGCTGCTGCCCAGGGGCCTGAACCTTACAATTTTAGCTTTTTTCTATTAAAAGAAGAAACAAACCTTTTTTTAATTAAATAAAAGACGAAAATGGACAAATTCCTGTTTTAGATGATCTGTGTAACTGACTGGGTTTTGTGTTTCTTAACTGCATGGTGTTCCTGCCGAGGGGTTTTATAGCACTTTTTAAATTTCTCTTTAAGATTTTGGTCCAGATTTCTACTGCTCTCTCGCCTGTCTGTCTTTGCTTTTTCCCTCGCCTCCAAGTTTGTAAACTCGCTCCGTTTTATACCTGATGTGGAAACCCAACCCCACGTTGTACATAGCTGCGGGAACAATCAGAGGAACAAACACCACCTGGACTCTGCCACCATTCGTCGTTTTTACTTAAAGAAAGTACATGAGGAAGCCAGGAAAAGGCTTGAGGCTCATTCCGAAGGACAGTAACCAACCCAGCCCTGCACCAAGTCAGCTCCTGCTGCCCACGCCGCCCGCACCACCCGGCATGTCTCTCTCGGTCGTCTGTCTCACACCATTGGGTTCAATAAAGTTATCTCCTGTACTGCCTGGCTGCGTGTCCTCTGTCGCTGCACACAGTGCCCCAAACACAATCTGTAATGCTGGGGCTGTCGTGCACAGTGCTGGGGAACAGGTGAGGACCTGCAGGGAGGCCGCACGGTGCCCCGGAGCTGTTTTCCACTCCACAGAGCGGTGCCAGGAAGGGAAAAATGCTCCAGAAGCTGTGAAATAATGCCAGCACAGCGAGGATCCTCATGTGGGCTCTTCCCATTGGCTCCCAGGGTTCTGCACAGGGATGGCAGCAATGAGCTGCCAGTCTGCCCCAGCAACTGTAGGGCCTCAGCCCCACTCAGAGCACCCCAGCACCCGTACTGCTCTACTGGGTGTGGGTGGGTCGCTGCCCCATATAGATACAGAGGCGACCCTGGGGGACCACTGCGTCCACTCCAGGTGCAGCTGCACTCAGTTTGGGTGTGTGATGCTGTAATGTGATGGAAAGCACAGCAGTGACAGCAGGGTAACAAAGTCCTGGGCTGCAGCAAATGAGGACAAGCTCAAATGCAACAACCGTAGACACAGAAACAGCAGAAAAAAAACTGCTTACCTTTAGAAGACCTCCACAAGACAGGGACCTCCAGCAAGATGCTCCCACTTCTACTGCCAGTCCTTAGAAGAGGGCTGGGGTGGATCCTGGCTCCACCCCTTTCTGTCACTCAGGTACATTGCACACACCTGAGCTGCCCTGCTTGGCCCTGGCTTCCCACCAGGTGCTCCATCACTGCTCCAAGCTGTGTCAGCTTTGCCACTACAGGATCTGACTACACCACCCCCATCGGTATGACAACACCCATGGGTGCTGCAGCACCCAGTACGTGCACACCATCAGCCCATATTCGTACAGTGGCACCCATGGGGTGCTGCAGCATGCGATGTGTGGATGCTGCAGTACAACTCCGTGCAGGTACAGCAGCACCTATAGGATGCTATACTACCCGGTATGGGCTGAGTAGCGCCCCATACAGCTGAATCACCACCCTGTCTAGGTACAGCAGCACCCACGTACAGGTACATCATCACCCCACAGCTGCAGCAGCACCACTGGGGCGCCGCAGCGCTGACTACAGTTACATCATCCGGTCGGTACAGGTACGCTGCCAGCCCACGCTCCCAAGGTGACCCCGACCTTTCTGCCCCCCACGGCCCCTCGGGGCTGCACGGAGGGCTCCTGGCTGCGCCCGGCACGGGCGGAGCTCCGGGGTTGGGGGGTCTGGCAGCTCGCAGCCCGCAGCCCCGCGGTTCGCTGCGGGGACCCCGCGCCGAGCACAGCGCTGGGGGCGGGGCGGACTGCGGAGGGGGGCGTGGCTTGCCGAGGGAGGGGCGTGGCTTGTGGGCAGTGGGCGGGGCTACGCGGAGCCGCTGCACGCGAGCCCGGAGGGGCCGGTGCTGCCGCAGCGCCCGCACCCGTCCCGCACCGCACCGCACCGCGCTCCGCAGCAGCGCACGGTAAGTTCGCGCCCGCCGAAGTTTCTCTCGAGCTTCTCTCGGTGCCGCAGCGGTGCGGGTTCTGCGGGACGGGGCTGCCCGCTCCCCCGGTGATCCGACCCCGGTGTGTACGGGTGGCAGCTCCGTTTCCCGGTGTCGGTGCGGGGCTGGTGCGGGATCCCGGGGACGCGAGGAGACTGCGGGCTCTGGGCGCTGCCCGATGCCAGGGGCTGTGCCGGTGGCTGCCCATAGGGCGATGCGCCCTCGGTTCCCCCGTCTGCGAGGCTGACGGCTGCGGGATCCCCCTTGGATGAAAGAACCACCGCCCCCGGATGTGGGAACCCCCCAGGGATGCGGGATGCACCCCGGGTTTCAGGGCGCCCCGGACCGCTGGTGGCTCTCAGCCGCGCACCCACGCGCGTTCGGGGCCGGGAGCGCCCTTGGAATCCCGGCGCTGAGAGGTGGCCGGGGGTTCCCCATCCCCGCAGTTGCAGCCACGGTGCGGTGCGGTGCGGGTAAACGGCGGCAGCATCGCGGCTCCGGACCGGCAGCTCCCGGGGTTCTCCGCCGCGTCCTGGACCGCGGCCAGCTCTGCCGGTCCGTTCGCGGGGCTGCAGCATCCTCCGCGCTCCTCGTGCACGCGGGGTGCGGCGGTGGGGCGGTGCGGGGCGGCAGCGTTGGGCTACAAGGGGCTGTGTGCCCGCATCCCGCCCGCAGCCTACTTTCAGAGGAGCGGCAGCGACCCCAAAAAAGCTCTGCCAATCGCACGGGGGGAAGGCAACTGGACAAAGTGACTGTGTCACGCGTTGCTCGGTGGTCCCCAACTGCAGCCCGAGCTTTGGAACCTCCGTGTGTGTCCCCCTGCACTGCGTGCGCCTTTGGTGCAGCGATGGGATGTCACCCACCCTGGGACCTCAACCTCCCTGCTATGACACCCTCCCTGTGATGACACCCACCCTGGGATGTCACCACTGCAGGTTGTCCAGGGGTCCCCCACCCGCCCCTCTGCAGCAGCAAAACTTCTACCTGATGGTGCACTCAGGTGCTGCTGCAGATTTTCCGCTCTGTGCGCGCTGTATGGGAGCTCGATGACCGGCAGGCGTCGTCTCCTGCCTGCTGCATTATTCCTCGCTAGCGCAGCGCTTCGGCCACGCTGCCGCGGGCTGCTGGGGCCCTGCGGGATGCCCGGGGCTCTCACCTCACCGCGGGGGTCAGTGCTCGTGGCTGGATGCTGCTGCAGAGAAGCAGAGAGGCTTTGCTGGTTTGCGACTCTGGGTGAGCGTGGGGTGCTGTGAGAGGTGATGCACCCAAGGTCATTGAGCAGTGGGACATGAGCCACACAGCTCGGGAACGGCACGAACCCATCGGACACCCCAGCAGCCCCGTGTTCCTCTGGGAGCGATGCTCTGCCCGCTTCTTGCAGGTGGTGAAGCGCGGGGATGGATCTGACCTTGTTCCCAGTTACCTGCACATCTTCAGCCCCTGCACTGGGCAGTGGGATCCCCTTACTGGGAGCTCCCGGACCCCATCCCTGTAGGAGTGCATTTCTCCCCCCACATCAGCCCAGCAGTATCGGTGTGCAAATGTCCCCCGCACCGCATCGCCTCGGGCAGCCCTGGCTCAGCGCCCTCTGCCCGATGCCACGGCGGGAGGGGGAGAGGAAAACACAGACGGACCCCCAGCAGCCCAGCGGCTCATTGGGCGCTGCAGCGCTCACTCCTGGGGGAGCGGCTCCGTGCTGCTGGAGCCCATGGGAAGCTGATGGAGGGGCGCCGAAGCGCAGAGGGCTCCTGCAGGGCGGCAGCGGGTGCTGCTCTGCTCACCGTGCTGCTGGCAGAGGCCCAGCTCCCGGCGCCAGATGACTGCGGTTCCTAATTATTGCTTGAGTTTCTGCTCCTCCTGGCTGCGCAGGGAGGTGGGGTGTCCTCGAGCAAGATCAGTGCCCAAGGCAAATAGATGGGACCGAGTGCCTGCTGCTTTCCATCCCTGGTGTTGTTTTCTTTTCCCCCTAACCCCGCAGCAGAGCTCAGTGCCGTCCTGCTGTCCCCACACCCAGAGCTCTGAGCAGTGGAGGCTGTCTGTGCGCTTTGCCCTTGGCTGCAGATGGCTCTGCCCGCTGGGTGGGAGCCCCTCTGCTCCCCTCTCATCCCCACCCCGTGTTCAGCTCCCACAGGAGCCTGCATTCCCCCAAGTGCTCTTTGATTATTAGCCCTAATAATTGTGTTATCGCATCGGCTGAAATGTTTCAGATGCCAAAGCTAATTTTGCTCTTCATGCCTTCCTTCATTGGTAATGGGATTTTGATAACATCGCACGTCCAGAGGTATTGGATCAACCCAGCATAATTCCCCATTTATTAATTAAACCGTAAATTAGGCAGTGTGTGGCTGGAATCTAAGATGCCCTGCACTGTTGCCACCCACTGCCTGCATCACCCATCCCGACCAGCCCCAAATCATGGGATGTGATCCCCCAGATGCTGGCTGCTTGGAGCATTGCTGCCATATGGGGTCTGCTCTCTGGGTCCGGACAGGGGCCATCCCTGTCCCTATGGGGTGCTTCTATGGGATGTGCCCACGCTGCAGCCCGCATGCTGGGATTGCTCTGTGCTGTGCTGAATTGCTGCGGTGTTCCCCTTCGTGTGGCCATCCTGCACCCTGCACCACACCAGCACTGCTGAACGCAGGCAGTGCTGCATCCACAGCCCTGCACAGAAGGGGCTCCTGGCTTCGTGGTTCTGCTTCTGCGTCTTAAGGAAAGCTCGTGGTTCTGCTTAAAGGCATCATTTTAGGTCTTCCTTGCTCCTCTGCTCCTCCTCAAAGAGTGCAGCAGAGCAGAGTTCTGGGCTGGGCATTGCTGGGAGATGGAAGGGAGCGACTGCTGCTGGCAGGAGGTGCAGGAGGTGCAGTCCTGATGCTATACCTGTCCCACAGAGAGCTGGAGGTGGTGCGTGGGTGCCATGGGGTGGTTGTGCAGGCACTGCAGGGGCTGCAGGAGCCGTTCTGGTGCTTGGAACGATGGCAGCGTGTGAACTGAGTTCAGTGCGTGGTGGCACTTTGGGGATGTGGGCCGTGACCAAAGATGGCTGGGGCAGGAGACCTCGTAGCACAGCGAGCCCCGTTTGGTTGTGCTGCTCCTCCAGGATGCGTGATGTGTGCCCCAAATCCCTGGGAGCATCACAGGGCTGCAGCTCAGGCTGCAGGGGACCTGGAGCCGCATGGCTGCCCAGCGGCTTTCATCCACCTGCACAGCCAGACAGATTTGGGGGATTCGGATCCCAGGTTTGCTGGGAGCAGGCGAGGTGGGCAGGGGCTGCCAGCACTGTGCCATCACTCTCCTTCCTCCAAACCAAAATCGATGCGGCTCGACTCCACGCTCCTGGTTCAGCTCCTGGCTCTGCCCCAGGAGCCATCGTCTGCCTTCTCCTCCTATTGATTGGAGACACCGCAGCTCCATGGCACGGAGCGTCCCGGCGTGGGCAGAGCAGCACCAACACGGCTGCACCAAGCCTTCGTGGTGCCAACCTGGTGCGCAGCCGGCTGCTTGGGATGGCTCTGCCCCAGCGCCTTCTGTTGCCCTATTTAGCACAGCCAGAATGGCGTGGGGAGCGGGCTGGGATGGGCAGCGCCTGTCAGCAGTTGGGGAGGGTTGGTGGTGGTTTGGGGAGGGTTGGTGGTGGTTAGCAGCTCTCCGTGGTGTCATTGCGTGGGGGCTGAGGGCACTGCAACAACACGTGAGCCAAAACTTCTCTGCAGCACAGGGCTGTGTCTGTGCTGCTGCACCAGGAGGGCTGCTCCCAGCGCCCCATGGCCTCTGCAGGTGCCTCGGAGCCATCTCTGCTTTGCTTCCCTGCTAATTAGCCATGGAGCTGCCTTCCGTGGGGTCTCAAAGCGCTGAGGAGCCAAATGCTTTCACAGGGCAGGAGAAGAGCAGCTGCTGTGACGGCGCTGCAGCAGCTCCAGGGAGTGCCATCTGCAGCCCACACTGCGTCCTGCTGGGCAGGGGACAGCTGGGACAGCTGAGCCCTGCAGGGACCCTGAGAGAAGCCCTGGGATGGCAGATGCACCACGCGCAGCTCAGAGCTGCCTGCTTTGGAACCGTGCACTCGCCACTTGTTTTTACCTCCCTGTGTACTTTTGGATCCCATCCCCGCAGCACTCCCAGCCCCTTCCCTTGGGCTCAGTGTGGGCCGGGGCTGTGGGGTGTGATCTTCACCCTCCAGCTCCATGCATCCATCGACCTTCAGCTGTTCCAGCTGTGTGTGCTGCACTGATGGGAGCTGCAGCAGCGCTGGGCAGAGGGAGCAGCGCGTTCCGGCTGGGGGACGTCCTGAGCCATTAATCTGGTGGCCAAATGATGGATGAAGGCTAACTTTAAGACTGTATTTAACTGCTCTGCATCTCCAGGCTCTGCTTTCAATAGCACAGAGGCTGTGATGGAGGAGCAGGGTCCTTGCTCAAAGCAGCACTTCCAGCACAGCCGCTCCCTGCGTGGGATTGTGCCACATCTCGGCTGGGATCGGTGCTGGCAGCCCCAGCAGAGCCCTCTGCAGCTCACGCTGTTCCCCCCCCCCCATGACAGTCCTCGTTGTTTGCCTCCGTTTCCCTCTGTGGGATGTGCTGTGTGGTTGGAGCCCATCTTTGGGTCACCCTGGGACAAGGCACAGCCACTGCCTGAACCCGAGCGCGGCGAATCGCGGCTCCTGCAGCCGGCTGTCCAGGCGTGCTGCCTCTAATTGCTGCCTCAGCTTCATTAATCATGATTAGCTGCTGTTTTCTGCCCTTCCGCATGTCCCCACACCTCTGTCTGGTTCTGGTCCTTGTGGTCCCGGGCAGCCCCCACTTCTTGCCCATGCACCCTGCTTTGCCCTGGGAGGCTGTGATAGGGATGGCTGCAGCCCCGTCCCTCTTCCTGTCCATATATCCCCATCCCTTTCCCTCCATGCCAAAGGCAGTGGGGACTGTGGTGCTGCTGTGCCTGGGGGCTGTCGCACGGGGAAAGCTCTGGTCCCCTTTTTTTCTTGCGGAGGCTCTGTGGGTTGAAGCTGTGTATGGGAATGGGAGCAATGAAGGGATCACCGGAAGGATTTCCTGAGCCCAAACTGCAGCTGGATGCAGAACTTCCCCAGTGTCGGCATGGAGGAATCCCAGGGGGATCCATGGGGGTTTGCAGGGTGAGGGTGAGAGCCCTGTGGTGCTGCTGGTGCTGAACCCCCATCTGCTCTTGGGCCAAGGGCGAGGGGAGATGGGTGTGAATGGAATGCACAGGAGACAGAGCGGCAGGGGGGTGAGGGAGCTGCCATCCCCCCCACAACAGCTTTCCTTCGAATGGACAGAAAACAGAAAGAAAAAAATGTGCAAGAGAAAAAAATAAAACCAGCAAGCAGCACACAGACCTGAGCCCTGCAGCGCTGCATTGCAGTGCCTTTGCTGCACCTGCACTGCACTGCACTGCATGGGGAGGGACACTGTGGGGTGGTGGCAGAGGGGGGACGTGGGGATGCCCGGGGCTCACGGTGTGCAAAGGCAATACCAAAAGCAATGGAAAATGTCACCCTTAGGGCTGTGCAGAGTCCCCCTCTGTTCATGGCCAAACTCCTTGACATCCACACGGACGTGCACACAGGTGCAGGCTGCCTCCTCCTCCTCCCACTTGGCTGCACTTCCTTGCACCGTGCTGCAACCCATGGCTATGGCATTGCAGGAAGGACAGACGGGTGGCACTGAATGTGGCACTGATGGGTGCAGTGAAGGAAGGGCTGCTCGCCCCCGGATCCTCACCTCTCTGACGTGGTTTCTGGTGTTTCCATAACAGATGGGCAGAAATGTGTGCATCAGCAGTTTGGAGAGAAAGTCATCCTGTGGAGAGCAGAGCAGGGCTGCTGCTGCTGCGGGACCTCTGAGGGGGAGGAAGGGTTTGGGGCTGAGTGGGAGCTCCTGAGCTGAACACGTCCTGGTGCAGCTCCAAGGGGAGCACTGGGGGCTGCAGGAGGTGCTCAGAGCCTCAGGCTTGGTGCAAGCAGGGCTCACTGCAGGCATTGCTCAGCTGCAGGCATTGCTCGGTGCTGCAGGCATTGCTCAGAGCTGCAGCAGGGCTTGAAGCAGACATTGCTCACTGCAGGCATTGCTCCAAGCTGCAGGCAGGGCTGGTGCCAGCCCCGCTCAGCACTGAGAGCTGCTGAGCACCTTCTCCTGCAGTCCTGGGCTTTAAGTTCCCCAAAACAGCACCAGCAGCCTGAAAACTTTGGCCCTGCCTTTGAGTTCTGTGATTTCTCAATAGAGAAGCATTCGGGTGGTGGTGAAGCAGTGACCTTGGCACTGACTGCAGCAGGGATGGAAGTGATGAGTTTGCGCTGTTTTGGTGCTTTCTGAGGGGCTGCCTCAGTTGAGGTGGGTGGGACAAACTCCTCTGCCCTCTTCTCTATGCCAGGGTTATGGAGGCCACCTGGGTCGGGTCCTGGTGCCCTTCACATTGCTTTTGCTGCAGAAGTGAGTGCCACATCTGCACCTCTCGGGCTGGGTGTCCCCGTTCTTGGGGGCTGCTCTGTATCTTGAGGGACTGGGAGGTGACAGGAGCAGCTGGGACACGGTGCTGAGCTGGAATGGGAGCTTTAGGCTGGGAGCATCAGGGAGGAACTCATGGCAGGCGCTGTGGGATGTCACCTTCATTTGCAGCTGGAGGCTCAGCTCTGCACTGTGTGTGCTGTGATGCAATCAGGGACCAATGGAAAACAGCCCCACCACAGGGCCCATATGATGCCACCGAGTCATCGGGGGACATCTCCAGTGGGAGAGGGCACAGGGGTGTGTGGGTCGTCTCAACCCCACTTGGGCTGGAAGTGCCTCCACGGCCCCGCTGGATGGCAGCAGCATCTGGAGCTCCTGCAGGGAGTTTGTAGGGGCTCTGGAGGTGAAAAGGGCCAGGAAACGTGGCTGCTCAGGGTCACAGCAAGGACCAAGGGACCTGTGCTGTGTTGCAGGGTTCCCCAGTCCCACCATGACATTCAAGCAAGCATCCATGGTGGCCCCGGAGGCCACGGCCACCACGATGCCCATGGCCACCATGGAGAACTCCACCGAGGCTGCGGGGCCGGGAGAGAGCAAGGAGGACATGTTTGCCAAGCTGAGGGAGAAGTTCATGAATGAGCTCAACAAGATCCCTTGTGAGTGGCTGCCCCTCCTCCCGGGACCCCTTCCCCACGGCTCCGCAGGGTGTGGGGTGGTGGGGCCAGATGGGGCTGAACTGTTGTCCCTGCAGTGCCGCCATGGGCCCTCATCGCCATCGCGGTGGTTGCTGGCCTCCTCCTCCTCACCTGCTGCTTCTGCATCTGCAAGAAATGCTGCTGCAAGAAGAAGAAGAACAAGAAGGAGAAGGGCAAAGGCATGAAGAATGCCATGAACATGAAGGACATGAAGTCGGGCAACCAGGTGAAGTCCTTTGGGGTGCTCCAAGGTTCTGCTGGTTTGGTGTCCCCAGAGTTTGGGGATCTCCAGGTGGATGGTGCTGTGCAGAACCGGACCATCTCCCCATTATGGGGTCCAGGAGGGGATGGGGGAAGGGGATTTCATGGGACCAGTGGGTCTGGGGCGTGATGCTGCAGTGCATATCCAACCTGTGTGCTGCAGCAAAGGGGTTCCTTTGTGATTCCCAAATACTGAAGGGATGCTGTGTCCCAGGGGATCAGTGGGGCCATACAAACACCCAGCTCCCTGCCTTGCCCTGGGTCTCTCCCCAGTGCTGTCCATGACATCACTCTTTTCCTTTGTGCCGCTCCCCCTGGGTGCTGCTCTGGCCACCAGGACGATGACGACGCAGAGACAGGACTGACGGAGGGGGAAGGTGAAGAAGAGGAGAAGGAGCCAGAGAACTTGGGCAAGCTGCAGTTCTCACTGGATTATGATTTCCAGGCAAACCAGGTGCTGGAGGGGCTGGGATTTACCCAGGGGGTTCATCTGAGGAGGAAAAATCTCCCACGTGGGGCTGGGAGCCCGCTGTGCTGAAGGCACTCTGTCCCCTCCAGTTGACCGTGGGGATCCTGCAAGCGGCTGAACTGCCGGCTTTGGACATGGGTGGCACCTCAGACCCCTACGTCAAGGTGTTCCTGCTCCCCGACAAGAAGAAGAAGTATGAGACAAAGGTGCAGAAGAAGACACTCAACCCTGCCTTCAACGAGACCTTCACCTTCAAGGTGAGGACCTTGCCTGACCCCTCAGCTGTGCCTTGCTGGGTGCTGAAGGCTCCTTGGGGCTCCATGCCAGCGGGTGGCTCTTCCCTGTGCAGGTCCCTTACCAGGAGTTGGGTGGGAAGACGTTGGTGATGGCCATCTACGACTTCGATCGCTTCTCCAAGCACGACATCATTGGTGAGGTGAAGGTGCCCATGAACACGGTGGATCTGGGCCAACCTATTGAGGAGTGGCGGGACCTGCAGAGCGGTGAGAAGGAGGAGGTGAGAGCTGAGATGTGGAACGGGCACACAGCACTTGGGATGGACCCACCTCGGTGCCGTGAGCCGGGTCTGACCCAGTTCCTCCTTTTTGCCAATGCTCTGCTCGGCAGCCAGAGAAGCTTGGAGACATCTGCATCTCCCTCCGCTACGTGCCCACGGCCGGCAAGCTCACCGTCTGCATCCTGGAGGCCAAGAACCTGAAGAAGATGGACGTTGGGGGCCTCTCAGGTGGGTGCTGCTCGGGGGCGTCATCCTGCTGCCCCATCCCAGTGCTCTCAGAGTCCTTTGTTGGAGGCAGCCTGAAGTCTGGCTGTAGGGAAGACGAGCCCCCTGCCCCTTAGGAAGGGTAGTTTGGTGCTCAGTGCGTGACAAGGTTTGGTTTCATTGCTGGCATCTCCTGCTCCATCAATGGGGCATCTGCTGCTCCCAACCCCCCTGAAAGGAGAACCACAGCAGGCAGGGCAGCTCCATCCCTTGCCCAGCGACTCCCTAAATTGGAAATATTTTGGCTTCGGCTTCCATCCACAAACCTCCAAACTCCTCACCTCCCAGAGCCCTCATCTTGGGCTGAGATCTGCCCCAGGGTGTCCCATGGGTGTCCCAGCCCTGCTTGATGTCCCCCCTTCACCCAGATCCCTATGTGAAGATCCACCTGCTGCAGAACGGGAAGAGGTTGAAGAAGAAGAAGACCACAGTTAAGAAGAAGACCTTAAACCCTTACTTCAACGAGTCCTTCAGCTTCGAGATCCCCTTTGAGCAGATACAGGTTGGTGTGCTGACATCTGTGGGGACACGTGGGAGGGGGGAAGTGAAGGATGTCCCTGCAGCCTGAGGCCTCCTGCTGAGCTGCTGGTCCAGCTGGAACCCAATCCCTGAGCCTGGTCTGGAGACGCACCTTCAAACCCAGCCCACGGCAGGGCTGGGGCTTCCATAGAATCATCCAATCATTAAGGTTGGAGAAGACCTCAAAGTTCATCAGGTTTTTGCACCCCATCCCCCCCATGCCACTAACCACGTCCCTCAGTGCCACATCTACCCGTTCCTTTGCTCCTGGACCTGCAGTGCTCACCCCAGGTTTGGGAAGGGTGGCCACGTGAGGGTGAGCGCAGTCCCCACTGTGACCCCGTGTCTCCGTGGGATGGAGTGGTGGAAGGACGGAGGGGACTTTGCCCCAAAAGAGGCCACTGTGTGGCTCAGCCCTGTGGGACCCCTGGGGCTCTGCCTTCCCGCCCCTCTAACGACAGCTTCCTCCCCCAGAAAGTGCAGGTGGTCATCACGGTGCTGGACTACGACAAGCTGGGCAAGAACGAAGCCATCGGCAAGATCTTCACGGGCTTCAACTCCACGGGCACGGAGCTGCGGCACTGGTCTGACATGCTGGCCAACCCGCGGCGGCCCATCGCCCAGTGGCACTCACTGAAGCCAGAGGAAGAAGTGGACGCAGCTCTCGGGAAGAACAAATAGAGGACCTGCAGCCGGCGCGGCGGACATTGAAAGCGACCCAGAGCTACCGATACCTCAGTTACGCAACCTTTGGTTTGGTTCTTTTTTGTTGTCGCTGTTCTGTTTTAAGCTGAAATACCCTTTGACAGCTGTGGAAGGGTTTCCAGACGGTCCCAATAGCTTCCAGGGGAAGAGGTTAAAGACTCGGATGGTTCTTTTCATTCTCCAGCATCGCTCCCTCTGGCTGCATGCCCCATCCCCTTCGCCCAACATCCCTCCCCACTGCTCCATCACCGACCCGCGGCCTCACCGCCTCCGTTCTGCCCATGGGGATCGCCGAGCATCGCTGCATGGAGGTGCCACCGGAGCCGGATGACCACACTCACTGTGCTTGCTTGGGGCTCCAGCACCAGCACGGACATCCATGACCTCTGCGGGAGACCTGGCTGCCTCCCCTCTCCTGCTGTGCCTCCCGTGGGGTGAGAATGAGATGCTGGGCCGCTCCAGCTTTGGCTGCTGCTGGGAAGAGGTGCGCAGGGACGGCGGAGCTGTGCTGCAGGAGCTGGGGGGATGCAGGAGGAGCACGAGGACGGAGCGCTTGGAGGAGACGCAGCACGGGATGCAGCGTGGGCCACCACTGCGTGTCAGCAGGGGCTGAGCCACGGAGCTCCGCGTTTCCCATCGTGCTTGGAGCTGCTGTTTGCCTCCTGACGGCACAGCGTAGAAACCCATCGCTCCAGATGCTTCCCTGCGGCTGCTTCACGTGGAGAGGTGTCTGAGTGCTGGAGGAGCTGCTGTGGGACCCATTGCCATCCGCACGGCTCAGCCCCATTGCGGGCACCCAGCGGAGCCCAGGTGGGGCTCTGGCAACTCCGGCCCTATGGCTGCATCCCATCACTGGGGGGCCACATCCCCCCCCCTTCCCCATGGGCTGCTGCTCCCCAGGAGCCGACTGCTGTCGCATCCGCCCTTCCACTCCTGCTGGGTGGAATAAGCCATATTCCTGTTGCTGGCAGCAGCGCTGGTTGGGTAAGAACTTCTCTGGATCCAAGCCTCTGAGCTGGGAAGCTGATGGCCTTGCCCCTGGTTCAGCCTGGTCCTTCCTGGGGCACAGTGTGTCCCCATGTCCCTGTGCAGTTCTCCCCAGCAGCTTTGTGCTTGCTGCTCTGCTTTGCTTTCCTGCACCCCAGGTCTTGTGGCAAAGGTCCTGGTGAGAGGAGCTCCTTGGAATGTCCTGAGCATGCAGAGTTTGGCACTGTTAGGCTATGAAAGAGACTGGCATTCAGGTGAGCAAGCTTGCAGCAGAGAAGCAGAGTTTCAGAGTGCAGTGGGGAAGCCCCAGGCACCAGGATGCTGCCAGGAGTCTACACTCGGTGTCTTGATGCCAGCACCCCAAGCCCAGGTATGATGTGCCAAAGCTGAGCTCCCCCTGGGGCCATTGGGTGCCTTGGCACTGCCCCCTCCTCCCCCCCGAGCTGGAGGCAGAACTCAGGGGAACTCAGCAGTGAGGGACAGTGGAGCTCTGGGGGTGCAACCCCAGTAGGGGACACCTCCATCCTCGCCGTGGTTCGGGGTTCTGGTAGCCACAACTGTGGTGTGCAGTGGGGAGCGCCCTGCCCTGAGCTGGGGCTGGGAACGGGGACCCCAAACTGCTGTCCCACTCCTGGGGTCCGTGTGCTGGGGCTGGGAGCAGTGGTTCCCTGGCTTTGATTCATTTTTGTCCTGTGTCAGGGTGTGAACACAGCCGTGCACAGACCGTGTAGAGAAGGGAGGAGAAATCTCGGGGTGGCTTCAGTGAATGGGAGCGTGGGGCAGCAGCAGGAATCCCTCAGCCCAGACCCAGAACCCTGGCGTTCCATTGGAAGCAGCAGAGGAGCAGATGCTGTTCACAACCCCCCCTGCCCCCCCCTGCCCCATGCACCCCCCCGCCCGCTCCCCATCCCTGCTGCACTTTGCAATTTCCATTTGGACTCTTTATGCTTCGGGGCAGGAGGGGGAACTCTGACTTTAATACATGATACGTCTTTCTTTATTTTTAATTTTAATAATAATAACAATTAAAAAAAAAAAAGGGACAAACCACCGACCTACAAAAGCCATCTGTGCTGCCTCTGCCCCCCCAGCTGTGTGTAGGTACCTGTATGGAGACGTCCATCGCTGTACAAACCACGAGCAGTGCATGAGCCCCGCAGCATGGCCCGGCCGTGCCCAAGCAGAGCAGTGCGGGCGACGGACAAAACTCATTGCCTGAGTGCTCCTCCCCCCTCCAAAAAGATGAAACAAAATAAAACAAAATCGTGCAGAAGAAGAAAATAGGCCAAGAAGCACCGCATGCCTGCAGCCCGCGGAGGGCGAGCGCTGCCAGCCGTGCCCTCCACCCGCGTCTCTCGTCCCCGTGTTTGTCGCGTTGTCCCATCGTGGCTTCGGTGTTCTGTGTCGCGTTGGTGCGTCTCACATCACTGCAACTTTAGAAGCCATATCAGACCGCAGCGCCCCGGGGGTCCCGCGTGGCCGCCAGCCCCGGCCGTGGGGCTCAGAGCTGCGGGGGGGCGGGCGGTGAAACCAGGGATGTCCTGCAGTGACATCTGTGCTGCGTTGGAGATGGCGGTGGGAAGGTGTTGGGGAGAGGTTCTGGGGCTCTGCTGTGTCTGTTTGGGGGCTGCTCCCTTCCCCTTCCCCTTCCCCTTCCCCTTCCCCTTCCCCTTCCCCTTCCCCTTCCCCTTCCCCTTCCCCTTCCCCTTCCCCTTCCCCTTCCCCTTCCCCTTCCCCTTCCCCTTCCCCTTCCCCTCCCCTCCTCTCCTTTCTCTCCCTTTTCTCTCTCCTCTTTCTTCTCCCTCTCCCTCTCGCAGTGACACCAGCGCCATCCTCCTGGGGACAGAAGTGAGGCCGCACAGCTTTGCCTTCGTGCCCCATAACCGGGAGGGTGAAGCCCCCATCCCCATCCCCCCGCCCGCCCCTGCAGCGCTGGGCTCCGGCAGGAAGCTGCTTTTAAAGCCCCTTCCCCTCGTGTGGACTCTGTCGTTCCCGTCTCTGATCGTTCAATGGTTATTTTGTAATGATATCTGTCTCCTTATTAAAGAAACAGCTGAAAGGAGCCCTGCTGCCCTGCTGGTTTTGCTTCTGGGGTGAAGTTCTGGGGACACGTGAGGGCATTTCAGAGCTCAGCTTTCAGCTTCACCAACTCATAGAATCACAGTTTGAGTTGGAAGGGGCCATTAAAGGCCGCCCGGTCCGACTCTGCAACGCAACCCTTGGGGGTCTGCAGGGACGGGGCAGCACTGCCTCTGTGTGCAGCCCTCATCCCACCTCACACCACTGCTGCGCTCCGTCCCCTTCCTTCTCACAGCCCCTTCAGGCACTGCTCTCAGGAGGGCTTCCATCCCTGGGACCACTTTTGCAGCTCTTCACCTGGGGGTGTCAGCTTCCAGGTAGCTGAGATGGGAGGAGATGGGCTGAGATGGGAGGAGATGGGCTGAGATGGGAGATGGGCTGAGATGTGAGGAGATGGGCTGAGATGGGCTGAGATGGGCTGAGATGGGCTGAGGTGTGAGGAGATGGGCTGAGATGGGAGATGGGCTGAGGTGGGAGGAGATGGGCTGAGATGGGAGGAGATGGGCTGAGATGGGAGGAGATGGGCTGAGATGGGAGGAGATGGGCTGAGGTGTGAGGAGATGGGCTGAGATGGGAGATGGGCTGAGATGTGAGGAGATGGGCTGAGGTGTGAGGAGATGCGCCCACCCCTCCCCGGCCCCATAAAGTCGGACTCGAAGACACAATTTCTATTTTATCAACTCTTATTTTATTTATTTATAAATACTGTTGTGTTTACAAGCATCATAGATGTGAATATTATTCCCAAACTTTCAAACACATAATACTTATAATACTATATAACAACAACCAGTAAAACAAATCATTCATCTCAGGGTTTGAAAGGCCACTCAAAGTTGCATAAAAATACATTCTCTCCCCATCTGGAACGCAGTCCTGCTTCCTCCAGGAAGTTATTTACAAAGAGCCACCATCAAACTCGCAGCCACAACAGGGTTCACCCCAAGCAATAAAAACGAATTCACCCAAGCACTGCTTAGAAAAAAAGCTCCGTGTTCTCCAAAGGAGGCACGTCTGACAAACTCTGCTTCAAGGAGGGAGCAGCGTTAAAATCCGCTTCCTTTGCGCTCCGTGCCCAGCGCAGAGCACGGCGTCGCACCCACCGCCACCTCGGTGCTTCCTGCAGACGCACTGAGAGCCCCGAGTCCTCCTCGCCCGCGGGGTTTGCGCTCCCATCGTCAGCGCGGAGCGTCGGCTGCGAGCACAGAGGGGCGCGCAGCGCCGCATCCCAGCGGCGCTTCGGCTCCGCGCCCTTCGCACAACGGCTCCTCGTGGGCAGAGCGCAGCGGCAGCCCCTGCAGGAAGGGGCGCAGCGCCGGTGCGGATGATGTCAGCTCGGGCCGAGCTTCTCCCAGCAGCCGGGAGCTCGGACTGTCCCTGCCTGCGGACCGGGACTGGGACAGGGCAGCGCTGCTGCAGCCAAGCCCGGGGTGAGGGTGGGAGAGAACGTGGAGAGATGCAGCAGCGCTCACACAGGGCGCACCGAGGGGGAGCGGCGTGCAGGGAAAGCACTGACCGGAGCTCAGGGCTTAAAGCTGTTCCATAAAGCAGGGATACGTGAAGCAGTAATACCGCCTGCCCGGTGTGGGCAGCGCTCTGCAGGAGCCCCGGTGATGCCAAAGCGCTTCTCCTCCTCCCCGAAGCACAGCAGCAGAGGAACGGCCGCGCTGCACCGGAGAACGGTGCAAAGAGGAGCAGTTGGAGCTCCGTGCTGAGCTGCCCTGAGCCCAGCCAGCAGAGAGAGCTGAGGTGGGATGGGAGGACGGGAGGGGAAAATGGAGAATTAGAAAGAAACAAAAAAGCCCCCAGGGAGAGGAAAATGCACAGGTGATAACCAGCAGGAGGCTCCAAGAAGCCCAGGACAGGCAGATGAATTTTTACCCTGTTGAGCAAACTTAGTTGTACTCATGTTCAAGTATCCATCTGCATCTCAGCACAGAGCTGCCGTGCGCGGCTGCTGCCACTCCGAGCACGAGGAGCCCATGGCACAAAGTGGGAAACGGAGGGACAAAGGCAATGAGGGGGGGAGGATGAGGGCGTGGGGCTGAACGCGGTGAGGAGAGCAGTCTGGTATGGGAGCTCAGCAGGGCAGCATGCAGCACATGCAGGAGTCGCTGCCTGAATGCCCACAGGGAGAACAATTTCAAACTGTTCTGAGTCCGTACAACATACAGAGGGTTGGGTTTTGTTGGTTTTTTTTTTGAGGTTTCCTTCAAGGCTGAGGCGGACTGCAAACTTCTGATGGATGAAAAGACTCTGATGCAGCTCCCAGCACTCCCACTCAGCTCCCAGCCCCCAAAGACCCCCGGGCACCTGGAGCACAGCTACTGCAGCTCCGTGCCCAGTGCCCCAAAGCCCACCTGAGAGGATCTGTGCCACCAGGCCTCATTGCCCCCCTCATTTCCATTCCCCAGAAACAAAACCGTGCTGCGGTTCAGCTGGTCAGCCTGATGCTGAAAAGCCATTGCAGGACCTGAAATATCTGCCCAGGCTCCTCTGCAGGGCTCTGCCTGACGGCAGCCTCCCACACCAACACACCACACCAGGCTCCTTCTTCAGAAAGTTTGGCAAACGTCTGCAATTCCATCCTGAGAACAGCAGTCCGGGTCCAGGTCCCAGGTGCTGCTGAGTGCAGGGAGCTTGGCGGGAGCCCCGGGGTTTGCAGCACGGCACCCCATCACCAGCTGCACAGGAGGGGCATTTACCCACCAGATCTGCAATGTGACATTAAATAAAAACCAGCCAGGTCTCTGTGCAAAGCAGCCATCCCCACGTGCTGAAGGAATCAGCTCTGCTGCCGTTCCTCGTAGCATCACATTTCAACCAAAGTCCCACACTGCACACGGGCTGATGGGTGTCCGCAGAATCCTGGCCCACGGTCCAGGTCCCACCTGCAAAGGGCACAGATGTGCTGCACCAACTCCGTGGGCATCGCTTTGCACAGCAGAGCTCCCTCCTGCACACCGTGGGCTGCTGGAAGGAGAAGTTTTGGCAGCTCAGCACCACTCCACATCCTCCTCTTCCTTGAGTCAAATGTCCGAGATCGCACAACATGCTGAAGTTAAAACAGAATGGCGGGGGGTGCGCTGTGGGGGGGAAAGGGCAGACAGGGAGCGTCCAGCCGAGGGCAGGGAGGAGCGATGCTGATCCCGTGGCTGCAATGCTGCTGTGCGGGGGGCAGGAGGAAGGGGCAGGGCTCAGCAGGGCACCCCCCCGTCCTGCAGCTCGGCTCCCTACTTGGAGAGTTTGCTGATGACACGAATGAGTGCCCCGTTTTCGTCCTTCAGCCTTTGATTGTCCGATTTCAGCTCCGTCAGAATCTGCACAAACACAGAGAGAGGGCCGGGGTTACAGCAGGGCTGGGGCTCAGCTCAGCTCGGCTCCTCACACAGCAAAGCCCCCAGGAAAGCGGTGCCACGGAGCTCGGTGGGACCATTTCTGAGCCCTTTCATCCAAACCCCCTCCCACAGGGCCTGGCAGAACAGACAGCTACTAAGGCAGCTTTTCCCTGTGTCCATTTCCCCAGGCCTGACACGTTTTCTGCCTTGGACTTCTAACTCAGGACGGGGCTGAGATCTTTAGAGCTGATCTTTAGAACAAAGCATCTCTTTGGGATCACACATTGAATGGCAGTGCTCACATTGTGGTCCCACAGAACATCCCAGAGAGCTGCGCGGTGAGTGGCTGCAGCAGAGAAAAAACACAGACCTCCAATTAAACAGAGAGGGAAACAAACACCACCAACAGGACCTTCCCAGCACCTCCTCCTGGCCAACAAGCCCTGACCCTCCTGCTTCCCACACTGCAGACCCTCAGGGAGCAGCTCTGGGGCTGCCCAGGCAGGAGGAGCAGAACAGCACTGGTGCTGTGTGTGGGGGGGTCCCAGCTGGAGGTGGCACAAAGCCCAGCGAGCTGAGCGCTGACTCACCTGCGTCAATGCAGCCCTTGGAGGAATTCCCCTGAAATGAAATCCCCACTGCAGAGCTGCTCTGCCTTCTCCCCCTTGGCGCTGGAGCCCTGGCCCTGCCTGCAGGCAGCTCTACCCCAGCTCACAGCAGCGCTGCTCTGCGTCCCTGCACGGCTCCTGTAGCCCCATGTGCTCCATCCCCTTCCCAAAGGAAGAGGTACCAGGGGCTGCACCCCACCACACGGCGGCCATTGGAACAGATGCTGCTGCTCATCATGGAATGAAGCCAAATTGCAGGCAGTGCCCAACACCGAGTGCCCAGGAATGGTGAGAAGGGCAAAGGGTTTGTGCCCTCACCCTGCACTTCCATTCCCTGCCAGTGGCTCATCCTCACTCTCTGAAGGAGCAGTGATGCTTTGGCTGCCCAGAGGTCACAGCGCTCAGACTCTGTGGGCACTGAGGAGATGGCGGTGGGCACAGCGTGGTGGGGCTGGGGATCTCAGAGGACTTTTCCAGCCTTCACGACTCCATGGTTCTGAGCACACTGCCTCCACGTCCACAGCAATCGAAGGGCTGAGCCGTCTGCTGAGGGCTGCACACAGCCCCCATCCCCTCCCTGTCACTGCCTGGGGTGGCTCTGCAGCATCCATCCCCATTTCACAGCTTACCAATGTGCTTTACAAAAATACTTCAGTGCAACTTTGGTGATTTATTGGAACGGGAGGAATGGAACAACGTGCTGCTTGAAGCTTCCTGGCTGTTGCTCGGCTCCATCAGTTTCCAGTGAAGCTTTGTGGAAGTCACACGTCAGCCTTGCAAAGTGCAGAGCCTCTCGAGCAGAGGGCACTCCTCCCTTCACTGCAAACCAGGCTCAAGCCCCACAAAATAAACAGCACGTGAAGCAGGGCTGTACTGCAGGGGTCTGAGCAATGATGCTCTGTAAATGTCTGCTAGAATGGCACAGAGGGACGGGGCCAGGAGGGCTCAGCCCCACGATGCTGATGCGCAGCGTCAGCACAGAGCGAGCTGCGAGCTGAGCTGTGTGCACTGCGACACACAGAAGGTGACACTGCAGAAATGATGTGGATTTTGGAAAATGAGATTCTCCGTGAAGTGCCACTGCAGTAAATCTGTCAGTTGAGAACAGTGACACGGCCGTACAGCTGTGATGTCCAAGGACAGCAAGGAGAGCAGCTGACAGGCAGCAGCAGCATCCCGTGCTGCACCTAAGAGGAGAGCTGAGGAAACCCAGCAGGGACGCAGCGCTGCTCCAGCAGGCAGCACTCAGCCTGCAAGCAAGCGGGGAGCGAGCATCCATCAACACCACAGCCTGCAATGGGACAGGGAGCAATGGGCAGAGAGGGGAAGCGGAGCTGCAATGGTTTCCTACCAGAAGAAGAGAGACAGGTGGCTTAAAGTCGGTGAAGCATCACTGCTTTGAGGCTGTGGGAACAAGGGGGGCAGGGACAGGCATGGGGCGACTTCTGTGGACTTGAAGCGGGCGCGTGGGGAGGCCGTTCCCTCTGACCCACAGCACAAAGCAGCCGGAGCAAATCGTGGGCTCTGGCACTGAGGCTCGGGGAAGGGAAGCCCCAGTTCCCCCGGTTAGTTTGTTTCTATGGTTAATCATCTCTGATATAATTTGTGTGCTAAGAATAGGCTTTTTCATACCTCAGTGCCACTTCCATCCCACTAGAGCACAGTGGTTCTTTTTTCCTTTAGGAAAAAATAGCTCTGTCTGTAGGGACCCAAATATCCCTACTGACCTGCAGAAGGCGTGCAGGACCCAGCGAAGGGAGGAGGCACAGCTTTATGCCAGCACTGAGGCAACGGAGCAGCAGGAAAGGATGCAGTGTGACGTGAGGGTGCAGCTCCCAAGGCTCACAGCCCCATTTCTCTGCAGTGACTCCCAGCACACAGTGAGTGCACACTGCAGGTCGGCTCCGCTCGCACCGTCCCGCAGGAGGCAGCACGGATGCTGCAGTGCCGAGCTCACACCTCCACCTTCCACTGCTTCACAGGAGGGAAGGAGCTTGTTTTCATTGCTTAAGAAAACAAGAGAAAGTGCCGAAGGCTGATCGGTTTGGGATTCTCTTGAAATCACCTTCCTTTCTAAAATGCGCATTTTTCATGACGCCCCTGGAAATTCATTAATCATTCATCGCGACTTTGCATAATGCCACATCCTGCTGAACTCAGCCTGCCGACACCTCGATCAGACACACAGCACAGCGATGGCAAGGGGCACCGCCACCGACGGCAGCCGGCTGCTGAGCCACAGGGAAGCACCCGAGCTCCCACCCCTCAGTGCCACCCATCCGCTGCCGTGCCGGGTCCTGCTGCTCTTCCGGGCAAGGAGAAAGCAGCCCCCCCTGCTGCGGGCTGTTAGTGGGACGGCGGAGGTCAGCAGCTGCCAAGCAGAGCGGGGTCAGCAGAACTGAGAGCACACCGTGCGGGGAAGCCCTGCCTGGAGAGCAGCGAGCCGGTGCTTGCAGACCGTCGGCCGCATGCAGCCTGCAGCCCAGCCAGCCAGGGGAGACACGGCCACGGGAGCGGAGACCTGCCTGGAGGATGGAGGAGGGAGGCGAGATGAGCCGGATGGCAAATGGCTACAGCTCCTCTGATTCGGAGGGCTTGGCAGGCAGCGAGAGCCTGGCCACAACCCGCGTCAGAGCCCTGTTCTCGGCCAGCAGCTGCTCGTTCATCTGCCTCAGAGTGTGAATCTGTTTGAGCTGGTGGAGGTTCTGCAGAGAGGGACAGGAGGGGACGGGAAGATACAGAGAGAACACACCGTGGAGACAAAAGGGCACAGAAAGGTGAATTTAGTCCACGAGGGGTAAAAGAACAGAGAAAAAGAAAAGAGAAATGAGTAGCGGCGAGTGCTGGGTGGGCAGCAGCTCAGATGTGCACACTGAAAGCCCTCTGGCACACTGACAGCATGTGGGGAGCCTGCCCTTCCCCCAGGGACCCCAAAGCCTTTAGAATGCTCCTAAGTAAGTGGATTTCCCACCCAAAGCAGGATGGTCCTTAAGGGTGATTTTCTAATGACCCATAATGAGCTCCACCAGACACAGCTGTGGGAGTGAGCCACTGTGCCAACCGTCATGCTGCCCCACCGCCACCGTGGGCACTGGGAGCACTGGGAGCACTGGGAGCACTGGGAGCACTGCTGGCACCTGAGAGCTTCTGTGCCACTCCTCCCATGCATCTCTGAACACCGAAGCAGCTGCACAGCAGTGAGCAGAGCTGCAGCAGAGCCTCTGCAGGGCACAGAGCTGAGCCATGCTCACAGCCATGCTCACAGCCAGGCTCTCGGCTCTGCTCCCCACAGCTGTGGGGTGGGCATGGGTTTTTCTAAGTAACCCGGCCCAAATTCAACTCTTCTTTGCCACAAGGCTCAGCCTTCAGAAGGAAAAAGGTAAGAACTGAAAGCACTCATTTTTAATGACGGGAGCTTGAATGAGAACAGCCTGAGGAGGAGGCAGACAGAACACAGTGCTGCTCAGTACAGAAACCACACGAGCACAGAACAGGGCAGGAATGGGTGCCCAGGAGGGGTGGCACAGCCACACTGCGGCACCGAGACACGGCGTGGAAGCACAGGGGAAGGCAGAGCAGAAAGCTGGGCAGACATCACTGCTGCTCACACAAGGAGGATGCGTCCCCAGCAACACTACATGAAAATGGATCGACACCAACACTGAATGGACACCAGGAGGTGTGAGGGCCGAGCGCTGCCTCCTGCACTGCATCCCTGCCCTGGGGTGGGGGGCAGGAAGGGAAGCACCCTCCAAAGGAGGGATTTTGGCTTCAAGAGACAAATCCCAGCCCAAGGCAAAGCGCCCTCCGTCCCTCCTGCAGCCTCCCCACACCTCTGTGTGTGGGGATGGAGGAGATGAAGGGGCTGCGGGGAGCTCCTTCCTGCCATGGGTCCCAAGGCAGCACTGCCTGCAAAATGACACCACCCTTAGCCAGGGCAGCATTGCACAGCTGTGAGAACTTCCACCTGATGTGCATGGAGCTGCCGGAGCTCCGCACAGAACTGCTGCATGCAGGGATGTTTGAGGGCTCAGTGCCACACAGAAGCATTTTGGGCAGCCAGCAGTGCAGCCCCAGCTGCCCCTAAGCACTACCTTTGCTCCTCATGAAGGAACGGAGACCGCGTCCAAAAGCCTCACGACGCCAACGAAGGGATGCAGAGCAGGAAAGGACGGGGCTTGAGCCCAGCTGGCTGTGCAACTGCTCCTGCATCCAAGGGAGCACAGCTCCTGCTGCCTGGCCTTCACTGTGCCGCTCTGACACCGGACTGATGGACAGCTCGGGGGACAGACACCCTCCCCATCCCCAGATCCCAGCCAGTACGACCTGCCCCACTGCGCCAGCTGGACAGAGGACAGACAGACATCACTGTGTCCATCCTGCACCCAGGAGCTGCTGGTTGGACTGCAAGGGCCGTTTGTTCCTGCGGTATCGCAGCTTATAAATGCTCTCTGCTTTATAACAGCTGAGCATCTGGCTGGCAGAAAATGGCCAACATATGTAGAACGCAGTGCGTGCTTCGTGGGGTGGAAAGGATTGTGATCACTTCAGAGACCATCCTCGCTTCCCACACCAACAGAGCACGAACTGCAGCACAGCACGAGCAGACGCAGCTCAGCTCAGCGCGCTGTGCAGCTGGGAAAGGATCACCTGTGCAAAGATGTGCGTGTGCTGCAGGTCGGATGGCTTCCTATTTATCATGCTCAAAGACAGCGAGCGAAGGCTGAGAGCTGGGCTGAAGCCAAAGGCAAAGACCAGAATGTGGATGATCCTGCTGTGATTGCTTATCGCTCTGCTTGATTCCTGGCTTACAGAAAGCAGGCTCCTCGGTTCAGCTGTACTTGCCTTCAATTAAAGGGTTTTGTGCTTGCAACACTCAGGAAAATCAGGATGCCCAAAGCATGCACAATGCACCAAGCCAGGAGGTGCGGCGCTGCTTCAGAGTAAAGAAGCTTCTGTGACCTTCAAGGAAAATTGCTGTGTTAAGTTGGGACCTCAGGCACTTGGCATTGAAATCAGTTCAGTGCAAATGCTAATTTTCTTTCTCCTTCCTCAGCCAAGTTGCTGCTGTATCTCCAGTCAAACCCTGCAGTCACTCAGGAAAATGCTGTACTGCTGTGTCACCTTCCCAAGGGCTGCAGGAGCCCCTCCAGCACCACGGAGCTCCCTGCCATCACCAGTTTCACCACGCTCCTCTCCCCTTCTTGGCAGCTTCACCAGCAGCAGCTCAACTTATGGAAGGAACAAAGCTTGTAAGCTCAGCTTGGGCTGAACTACACAGCATTGCTGTCACAGCAACCCAGGACCTTCCTGTGACATTGCTGTGCCTCCTCTTCCCAAGGAGTCAGCTGCTCCCAAACTGCTCTGGACTCAGTGCCAGCCAAAGAGCAAACAGCTGCAGGTGAGCCCTGATGGACTGGTTCCATTCAGATGCTGGGAAGAATCCCAGTGACTGCAGTATGACTCAGAACCCAACGCCATGGCATGGCTGGGATTCCCCTTGCTGCTCTCCACCTTATAGGAAACTGGTGGATTTGCTTAAATTGCTCTTTCTGATGCTGCTCAATAGCTATTCAATTAGCAAAAGTAGCAGGAATGCAAGCACAGCCAGTACTAAGAGATTTGTTTTCCTGGCACTACTGACTCAGCAGGGACTGGTACAGATGTTCTGCAGAGGTTATCTCATTCTACACAAGCACAGCTGGGCTGCATCCTGCTTTAAGACGTGATGTAAGTGGACGTGGAAAGCCTGCCATCCTTATGGACTTCCATTGTCAGAGCCTTCACACTTGTTTGCATGTCACAGCACAGTCAGGTGCTCAACACATGCTCGAGTTTTTGCAAAGCCTGGTGGGGTGGAAACCCAGCAGTGCCTCAGAAGAGACACTTTCAAATTTCACATCTATTTATTCCGCTAACAAAAGGCTGCTTGGGTCTGCAGAAAGAGGCAGCATCACTCCCAAGGAGCTGAGCTTGTCCTCAGGCAGACCACGGGCTGCTGCAGCCATGTGCTGCCTCCTGCATGGCCAGCAGCTTCAGGGTAACACAGGAACACACCAGACTTCACGTGCTGCTTTTCCCACAGCACTTTCTCAGCTTCCATCCACCTGCAGCTCCCGGCTCCCCCAACCAGAGAAGCTGTAGCTGTGTCCAGCAGTCCCTGCAGGCATCTTCTCTCATTAATTGCTTTCTGAACCAATAGAAGTGCTCAAAACCAACAGGCCACTAGAGGACACCAATTTGTCTTTTTACTCCATGGACTGAGCTGGTTTGTGAAGAGATCTGCAGGGCTAAAGCAATGCCACAGAGTGCTCCTGCCCGTGCTTTCTCTTGGAGGCTGCATTTCTGTAATGATGGGAAAGTCCTTCCGGAGTTCACAGTTGCCACTTGCTGAGAGGAGGAAGGATTTGGAATCCAGGCACCCTCAGCCCTTGGCTGCTCCCCTTTGAGCACATCCACATTCATTTCGTCCTCTTTGAAAGACCAAGAGAGCCTTTGCAGCAAGACTCCACCAAATTGTTCTGAGACTTATTGCAGCAGAAGACGCAGCAAAAGCCAATCTATCCTTTCAAAGATGTAAGCCTGGTAAAGATATGAAGCTTGAAATAGAAGCACAAAGCAGGAACCACGTTGAGGGTGGCAGGAATCATTTGCATCAGTGCACCGCTGACATCCCCAGGTCCTGCCTTGTCAGAGCGACGCGGTCCCACCTGGATCATCCTCAGAGGGGAGGGAAGCACAGCACGCAGGACCAGAGGGCCGTTCTGTGAGGACAAGCATTCAAGTGCAGCATAAAATCACGGAACGCTGCAGAATCACTGTGAAGCTGTAGGTGCACCCAGGTGGCAAACGCTGCATCTGCACTGCGGTGCTCCCTGCCAGCCGCGGGGCTCCGTCCCAGCAGGGCCACGGGAGGGGAAGGCAGGGAGCAGTCGGTGGGTGGGCTGGGAACAGCAAGCCATGCTGGACTTGGGAGCAAATTCCTCTTTGCTGAGATCCATTCCAGCCTGACTTACTGACGCAGCCTTCCACAAACATGCTGTAGGACAGAAATGCAATCACTGTGTGCTCTGTGCTGGCCAGTGCGCGTGATCTCAAAAGCCAGCTTTGTCTTCTTACCCATCTGGAGGGAGCCACAACGGCTTCGCTTGGGCTGCAGACTATCCAGCAAACTGAAACTCACGGATGCCACAGGTTAGTCTCAGAAAGCATTTGGGGAGAATAGCCTTCACAGTTCTCAGGGCAAACAACATAACAGAACACATGGTGCGATTCGATGGATGCTAACAGAGGGCTCAACACTACTCCATGTTTGGAGAACAGCCATTAAAGCAAGGCCTGGATGCAAAACTGAAGGCACTCAGAGGTGAGATGAGCCCCTTCCCATGTATATCTTTAATGTCCTACTCCTGGGTGACAGTCCCAACAGACATTAATACAAAGCATCAAAATCACAACAGAGGGAACAGATTATTCCCTACCTTCATCTCCTCCTCCATTTCAGAGAGTTTCCGCTCCAGGGCTCGCTTCTCCTGTTTACAGGGATTCATAACAGAGACGGTCAGAGGTGTTTACAGGAAAAACAAAGCGTGTTCTCTTTTAAAGAAAAGCAAAAGTCTTGCATTTCTACGGGAGCCATCACCAAAAAGCACCTCAGAGCACTGCACAGCCAGGAGCAGAGCAGACGGACGTGGCAGCAGGCCGTGTGCTGGGGCCCATTTTGCCCCTACACGTGAGGTGGAGCACAGCTCTCAGGTCCATTCCAACCTGACCTCAGGGTCAGTTAAGACTCAGCCAGACACCACAGCTTAACTTATTGCAACAAATCCAACTGCTTGTTAGGAGGACGAAATGTTCAATCAGATTTCAAGAGTAATCACAAGGATGGACACCCAGCCCGTGCTTTGTCTTGTTTCTCCCTCCCTCCTGAAAGTTCTTATTTATAAGGATCAATAACATTTTAAGGCATAAAGGACTGACAGCCCTGTAGGACCGTGCAATGCAATCTGCTGCTCTGTCGCTTCCTATAATGAAAGAAGGAAGTCAGAACATGGCTGATCTGCAAAGAGAGCAGAAAAGTCTCAGGCACAAAAAGGTCAGAACACAATTATAGCCGTGCACTGCTCTGCAAGGCAAAAATGTAACTTATCTTTTAATTAACACTTTCCTTCCAGAAATTAGCATGCCCTGTAGAGCAGCACAAGGCAAAGACAGAACCCAGAAGAAAGCAGACACACATACCCTTTTCTCCATCTCCAGCATGCTGGACCGGTCAGAAGTTTTCTCCTGTTTCTGCTATGTAATTAAAAATAGAAAGCTATTAAAATGGAGAGGCATTCACACGATGCTGTACAAAGGCTGGACAGCCCACAGATGCTCTTGCCCAGAGAAGCAGCAATCCTTAGAGAATCACACACACCACACTGCTTTCTGTGCAAAGTAACACCAGTCTCCCCTGCAGCAGCTTCCCTCGTGAGCACTGCATCCCCTCCCTCATCACAGATGTGTTGGCATGGCACAGGGCAGCACTCGCTTTGCCCAGCAGAGCAGCAGCTTTTGGCCTTACCTGGGCTGCCTTTTCCAACTTGGATTTGATGTCAGCCAGCTCGAGCTGCGCTTCTTGCAGTTTCGACTTCAGCTTCTGATTTTCAGACAGGGCGCTTTCGTACAACTGAAATGCAAACGTTTCAATTGACAGGGCTGCTCTTCAGCCACTGTGCTCCAAACAGACACTTTTCACACGGCCTTTGCATCACGCACACCTGGCAGCCTGTGTTACTGATTTCAAGGATCGTGCTGAAAGCTTCAGAGCTTTTAGAACAAATAATTCCAGAGTGTCATAGCAGCACAAAGTGATTCAGCTGGGGGCGCACGCTGTGGCCATGCTGGTAGCATTCAAGGTCAGCCTTTTCTTCTTTACAAATCCCTCCCCCATCTCTCCAGCCCGATCCCTCACTCCCTGTTCCCCAGGGGGTCCCTTCACCCCCTGTCCTGTTTTTGCCCTCTGTAGGACTGACGCATTCGAGAACAGCGAGCATCATTCCCAAAGGCAATGGAAACAGACAATGCTCCAAAGACAGTCGGTGCAGCTCCCGAGGTGCAGCCAGTGACAACATTACACACAGAAACCCCACCTTCTTGTAGTCCCTGTTGCTCTCCTCTTCTGCCCTGCTGCTGAGGGCTGCTAGGCGGTTCTCTCTGCGGCTGTAGGCACTGGAGCGGCTGGAGGCACGGTCGCTGTAGGAGTCACTGGTGGCAGGGGCTGTAGCTGCTTCCAACCTGCAAGGCAAAGACGCAGCACTGTGCAGCAGCTGCAATGCAGGGAAGGCCAGTGTGACACAAAGGCGAGCAGAGCCCCGTGCTGAACCAACTGGGAACAGCCCAGCGGATATCAGCCCAAACCCCAGCGGGCAGCAACGTGCCATGCATTGCTGGGATCCCACCTTCATGGTGGGAATGGGCTCCATGCAACGGGACGTCAAAGGTTTTGATCTGCTCATGGCTGCTGGGTGACTGGAGGAGCAAAGGAAGAAAGCAGAGTGGCCCAACAGCTGAGCTGAGCTGAGAACCCGCTGGTCAGAGCCAGGGACGGCTCGTGCCATTGATGTGAAGGAGGGGAACCCCCAGAGCTGTGCAAAAATGGGACACAGAAAAAAGTCTTAAATCTAAAATATTACATCGGAAAAAAAAAACAACCCCCGAGAAACAAAGTTCTTACCTGGAAAGTCGTTCATGCTGAAGGAAAGAGGGGGAAAAAAAAGAAAAAAAGGGAATTAATGACCAATGAACTAACAGTGCAGCCCCAGCAGCACGTTGCTCCCACCCAGCACACACAGCCTGCTCCAAACTGCGACCCAGCGACTGCTGCAGAGCCTTCTCAACTGCTTCTGCTCCTCTGAAGCGTTTCAGATTTCATTTCCTTCACAAACCCAAAACCTACACAGCCTTGGCTTTTAAATCCTCGCGTCCAGAACTGAAGCCCATTCCTGGGCCCCAAACTCATCTATTGTTTCCCTTTCACATCAAATAGCCCTGCTGGCTTTGATCGCTGCCCACCTTTTCTCCACGGCCAAATACTCGTGAGGAAGGAGAGCTTTGCAGGGCGAGAGGAGCTCAGCAGGAGCCGTGGGGAGGCTGAGGAGCTCTCAGCCCCACAGAGCCTGGGGCACGTCGGGCTCTTCCTTCCCCACCTGCATTCCCATCACAGCAGAGCAATGCCCAGCTCTGCCTTCGCTGCAGCCGCTGGTGCTCTTAAAGCACGCTGACCTGGGCCAGAGGGGATTACAGGAGTTTTGCTTGGCGCTGCCGAGTCCTGCGGGGCCAAGTGTGGTAAACCACAGCTTGTAGTGGAGATCTCTGCACCGGGCAGTTTTCTCCTACAAATGCCAAAGTCAAACAGAACAGCACGGGCTCCTGTGGGATGCACTGCTCCCATCCTCGGCTCCCCCCCATGAGCTCCTCTGAGCATGGGTGCATTGAGCACAAGGGCTGTGCTCAGCCTGCACCACAGCAGGAACACAACAACACGGCAGGTACTGCAAGTCACCACATTTCTAATTCTTCCAACCCCAACACAACCCCCGTCTTCTGTTCAAGAAGGAAACCACCCCACACAGCCCTCTGTCACAGGAACGTGGTGCCTTGGCCAGGACAAAGGAACTGAACCAAAGCTGAAGCCTCACAGCTGGAGAGCACATTCAGCTGGAGCTGCTAAATCCAAAGCCCAAACCCTGCTATCAGTTGGCATGTTCTCCCCAGGGCTGTGCCTGCAGGGGCTCCATCCGCTGAGCACAGGGCTGCAGCAGAACCACGGCAGCAGCTCCAGCCCTGTGCTACAGCCTGAACAGCCCGAGCTGGAAGGGGCCCACAGGGAACTGCATCCTTCCCCAGCCTTCCACCTGCAGCCGCCTCCCAGCGCGGTGCTGCAGTGAAGTGGTGCTTCTGAGACACAGATGATACCATATAAAGGCCGGGTCTGGAGAGCAGAGGCTGAACAGAACTCTGCAGCCACTGCTGGCAACGGCCCCGCTGTGATGGAATCACAAACCAGCTTCCAGCAGAGGATCGCTCCTCCTCTCGCTATTACCGTCAGGGAAGGAAGGGATATTTCTTTTGTTTTAGATCAGTTTCTGTCTCAGCCTCTTCTTGAGGTCTGCACACAGGCCACGCTGGTACCCCAAGGACCAGATTTCTCTGTTCTGCTTTTAAAACGATGACAGAAGAGAGGAGCCATCTCCACCAGGCCCAGCTCCCTTCCAGCCCAGCCCTGCCCTGCATTCTGCCACAGCACCCTCAGAAACCTCCAGCTGCAGCTGGGCTGCCCTCCCTGCAGTCACTGCTTCTCTGCTCAAACAACCAAGTGCCATTTAAATGGCAGCAGCATCACCTGCCGTGCTGCCCAAGGGAGCAGAGCACTGCATGCCCTAAGCTCAGCGCCGCAGCCTCAGCCTCCGTCGCTCCCTGAAGGAGCAGAGGGCAGCGGCGGCTGAGCCCACCAAGCAGAGCCCTCCTGGCTGAACAGCACACGGCCTGGTAGGGTTCAAGCAGTGCTGAGAACCAGCTGTACCGACTCTTTGAATGCACCATCATATTTTTCATGGTTTTTTTTTCCACTGACAAACATGAAGCTGCTCTGTCAGCATCGCCCCCAGCGCTGCGTTTCCCCAGGGATCCGAAGCTCCACAAGAACCAGCAGCAGCCACGGGAACACAGGGCTGTGCCATGAGCCTCGCCAGCTAAACAGGGTCAGGGCGGGGGGAGGAGGGCCCCAGGGAGCAGCACGGCTGCCCTGGTTCTGAAAGCAGCGTGCAGCCAGGCAGGACCTGCAGCCCGGGACGCTGATGGCTGGTGAAGGAAAACTTCGACACGCAGAGCAGCGCTGCAGGGAGCGCCGCCAGGTTTCTGGTCAGCATCAGTGCTCAGAGCTCTCGCAGCAGGAGGATGGGAGTGGGGTTTGCACGTGCACCCCGACCTACAGCCACACACCTCGGGTCACATCCTTCCTCCTGGCTGTGGGATGGCAGCACAGCGCTGGGGTGGCACCGCCTGGCTATTGCTGCCAGCTCCCCTGGGCTGGGGTAGAGCTGGCTGAACCCCACAGGGCTGCAGAACACAGGGCATGGGAGCAAACAGCTCCCATGGGAGCAAACAGCATATGGAATCATACAGAGGTTTGGGTCGGAAGGGACCTTACCACCATTTAGTTCCAACCCCCTGCTCCAGGCAGGGACACCTCACACCACGCCGGGTTGCTCCAAGCCGATGCTGCGCAGTGCAGGAACGCTGCAGGGTTTGGGTTTTGGATGGAGGAAGGCAGGAGTTTTCCCTTCAGAACACACAAACTCTCACAGCTGTTTGAAGTTCAGTAAGGTAAAATTAAAACCAAATTCCTTGCGGAAGGTTTGGCTGAAATGAAGCCCTGAAATGCAGCGCCAAGAGGGGCTCAGCCTTCTGCCAAGGCAGACACTGCCCCATTGCTTCCAGATGCATTCTGCTGCTGCTCACACCTGGCCCAGCACAGGCAGAACAAGTCCACTATTTACATTTCCACCCCCCAAAAAAAGATGCTGCTGGAAAATTTCATGGTTCTTTATCTCCCATTGGCCAACCTCGGGAAAGTCCGCACTATTTTAAGACAGTTCCCAAGGAATTCATTTTGGTGCTTTGTTTCAGGGATCTGATCACCGCCATGATCAACTGCCACTTTGCAGGATCCCAGGGCACAGCCACAGCCCCAATTCCCCCCCAGACCCACACAGAAAGCCCCAACAACTCCTCCAACGGTGTTGGCAGCCATCCTCCTGCTGAGCCCCGCTGCCCGTGGGCTCACAGTTCTCCCTGTGACGTGCACAACGCTGCAGGGAGCTGCACACTGCTGCAGACTGCGCTGTCTGCTCCCAGCCCACTGCAGGTTTGCTGCTCTGCTGCACGGCTGCTGCAGGAGGGTCAGCCCCTGTGCACGGTGTGCAGCTGGCAGGGAGCGTGGGGCTGCACTGCAGGAGCTGTGGGGAGGAGCAGGGATGGCTTTGGTGCGTGGTGCAGCTTGCAGTTGGACCTGCGGGCTGGGCACAACCAGTGCTCAGGAAGTTTGGTTTTCCAAAGGGTGCAGAAGAATTACAAGGTCTGTTTTGAACTCTGCTTCTCTGAGGTCATTGCCTCGCTGGGAAAGCTGCTGCGCCGACCCAGCGCTGCGGCTCAGCTCCCCGCCAGCTCCAGCCTGGTGATGGATGCTGCTGCCTTCCGCCCGGGCTGCACCGCTGCGAATGCAAGCATCACAAATCCCACTGCCGTGATGGATAACACCGTGCAGCCAAACCACCTCCATCGAACCCCCAACTCCCCAAAGCCTTACGCAAAGCACGTTTTCACAAACGATAAATCAAAAAGCTTTGCTTAAGAAAAACTGCTGTTACTGAAGCATAATATTAAAAGCCCATCTGAGCTGGAATAGCAGCCTTGGCCGCTGCCTGCAACACATTGCATTGCTTACGGCACGAAACAAACACGTGGCTGGGGGGGCTGTCAGCAGCAGCACCTCCATGGCCCCAGCACAGGCAGCTCCCCTCTGCTCCCCCCACCCCCTGCCTCAGTTCCCCACTCCTCCGTGGCCCCTCGGCTCAGCCCCAGCTGCACTTCATTACTGCTGGCTCTGGGGGATAGAGCTCACTGTGTAAAGCACTGAGCTGGATTGTAGTTTAATTTAGGAGAGGCCACAACTCAGAAACCTGGGTCTGCTGCTCTGATTTCTTTTTTTTTTTTTCCCTTCTTTTCGAAGGGATCAAGTTTTATTGCTGAAAAACTTCATTTTGCAAAGCACTCCAGACATGAGGAAATCAAAGCTGAAGGGCCAAGTGACTGAGAGGAGGAGATTGCTGCTCCCCAACTTCTTAATGCCACGGGGCTGCAGGTAGCAGCTCCTCCCCAGCCCTGCACACACTGCTGGGCATTCCCAGGTGTTATCATGGTGTGTTTAAATATCTATTTGGAGCCCCAGTTGCAGCTGCTAAAACCAACCTGTCCCATTGCAGCCACGTAGCATTTCTGTGACAACTGCATGGGCACTGGGAGCGCTTGCATGGAAAAGCCATTAGGACTGCTGAGGTATGCTGGGCTGTCTGCACTGCACGGAGCATCCTGTGCTGTCAGTTAAGGCTGCTGGTGCTGCCTCTTTCTCTCCTCATTTGTTTCTGTCTAAAACAGCTCCGGAGCTGCTGCCAGAGGTGATCTGAGCCCAAACCTGCCCAAGGATGTCTGCTCCAAAGCTTTGCTTCTTCAGGAGTGACCTCAGCTACAGGGGGTTACTAAAAAGAACTGACAAGTCCGTGTGAAAAACAAAACCAACCCAAGAAGCAAACCAAGCTAACCTGAGGTCAGCACTCTGCATCTGTCACCAGGGGCAGCTCCAAGGACGGGGCAGCACCTCCAGGGTAGGAGCCAGCACAGATGTGCCCAGAGCTGCACAAATCCAGCTGCAGTGCCCAGAGGCAGTGGGGCAGACTGAGCCCTGCCAGCTTTGTTTGCTATGGGTTCGTGTTCCTCTTATGGAAAATAAAGCTATAATGGGCTCCTGCCACTGCAGTAAACACTGGTTTGCAATTCAGAGGTTAGAGTGGTTTTCTGCCTCTGGCTTCCATCCGCTCTCCCCTTCCACCCATTCCCATCCCACAGCACCTCCCCATCCCCCCTGGGCTGAGCCCAGATCAGATCTCCTCCTCCTCACCCCTTCTGCACACCGG